AAACATACTAACATAGTAAATCATAATACTTCAGTTCACTACTATATAAATGCCCCCATTTAATAAAGTGCAGGAGAAATTTCATCCGCTAACATAAAGAATATATGAGAACAACAAAGACCATTATCCACCACAAATATTGATTGCATATGTAGCATGAAGTAGCAGGGCTCACCTCATGTAAGGTCTCACATAGTTCCTTCAGGTCTGATTCTGTGAGCTTGGCTAGGGCGTGCTGGCACATACGACACAATAGGGTTGCCGCCACATATATATACTTTTCATCATGGATCAGGATCATATGTTTGAGTTTATTGATAAACTCTGGTTCTTTCAACATAACCAAGCAGTTGTGCACATTATCTGTTGCCAGCATTGCCAGTTCTTGCCCGGCTACCTTTGTTAGCAAGCAATCAACATTTGTGCTTGAGGTTCTATCTAAATTGAGGAATGCCTTCGTCAGCCTGGTTATGAGCACCTGCATGTGCCCAATCTTCTGCCTGTGTCACCATCAAAGGCAAGGTTTCTGAGGATTCCTGCCACGAGCTTCCTTAGTTCTTGATTGTCATTGTTGTCTCCCAAGATCTCGGCTAGGTTTCTTAACATGAAGGGATGTTTCAATATCTTGTACCGCAGTGTTATGCCGATCTCTCCTCCAATGCTTGTGAGCCTCTGCAACACCTTCAGCGATGACTTTACCAGGACCATTTGTTGTGCCTCGCTGTTCGTCATGTCACCTCTGAAGCTTGTAAATCCTATGATCTTCGGAATGAGGTCAGCTACTCTATCGATTTCCACACAGTTATTTTGACCACAGCTAGCAAGCTTGTCAATAATCAACATGCCAAGTGCAGGAAGATGATCATAGTATGTCAATGAATGCTCTTTGGGAACTTTCCAGTACTCTGAAATCTGCTGCCATCTTCGTCTGAGTATGCAGTTCTGTTCATGGATGTGGGCTGAACAAGTTTGTGTCTCCGGCAGGTTATCAGTGCCTTCAACTGGCTCTTGTCTTTGCTTTGGGTCATCATCTGGATTCCTAATTGCATCCGGTCTTTCCTCTTGGCTATTTGCTGTGTTGAGAATGGGGTCTTGCCTCTCCTCTTGTTCATCATCTACCTGCAGAAGTGGATTTCCCTTTTTAAGTTTGGCATTGGTGTCCAGAAGTGCAGATACAAGCTGCAGTGCCGTAGGAACAGTGATGATTTGGAGGTCCTTTGCAAGCTCAGCAGTCACCTTAGCTGCATATAATCTGACCGTCGTATTATTTGGACTAGTCCAGCCCAACATACTGATTATTCTATCGATGGTCTTTGTAGAAGTGATGAGTTTGTCAAGGATCCGAACCCTTGTCATTTCATTCTCCAGAAGGCTATGCATCAGTTGAATCCCATAGAAATGATTCTTAGGAGAATCTGAGTTCAGGGAATTTATGGCAAAGTTACTCAGGCTGATTTTCTTTGGAACAAACACAGCCCCTCCCATGCATTTCTCGAAGGCATATGCATAATATAGATTGACATATTCCACTCCCAGCTGACCTCTCAATCCAGCACGCCGGATGAGGAATCTCCGGGGGATGAATGAAAAGATATCGAGGAAGCATGCCACAATGTAGAGTATTCCTTGGGCCATCACCATCCCATAGAAGATAATGAGAGATGGTACCAGGTTAGTCTTGCTGTCTGGATCCTCTCCATGTTCTCTGTAGCCGTTATGTGGCATGATAAGGCGGTGCAGTGCGAAGTTTGCGATTTCAGCACGCATGGCTGCTGCTAGTATCTGGAAGTTGCCAGATGACACCATCAATGTAATGCTGACTAGTGACAAGATTGTTACAAACCGAAAGGACCCATCACTAGTCAGTACCAACATCACTAGCGCAGCAAGCATGCACATGTTCTGGATAGTTCGACCCCAAACTAATAGTTTTCTGCACAGAGCACTATCTACTAGTTTGATGACTATTGGGAACCGCAACCTGCTGATTGTTACCATGAGCACAACTATGAGCAATATGAAAAACGCTGTCCATTTGGCAACTGTGAACCTACTTGGGATGAAGTTAATTTCAGCCGTTATTTTGGGTATTGATCTGCTTCCTGTGGTATTCCAAACAAGTTCCCTTGAGTGATGCTGCACGGTTGGAGTTAGCAACAGTATTGCAGCTAAGGGGCTCCATAGAGATATGGCACGGCGGAATGGATTGCATAGTGGTTGAAACTCAGGAGATATATTCTGGCCAAGTGCAAGCAGAATTATCATAGCGTAAACCACTACAGCTGCCATAACTATTTTCTTCTGGAGAGCCAACAACACCCAAACATCTAAAATGCAGACGATGGCGATCAGACCATTCCAGCCAAGAGGTCTGAAAGCACCTCTGGTTCGGAAGAACAATTGGTAATCGTGCCTGTTGTTGCTGCCACTGAACATCCTGAAGTGTACATAGGATGGGTAAGTAAAGAGGCAAAACCGCAAAACGCCGTACAATCAACAAGCCGGTCATCAATCGTTATTTTTTATCACTAACATAATTTTGCTCGTAGAGCGAATATGTTGAGAATGCAAAAGCGAAATCGATTGGGATGCTTTTTTAGATTCCCATCGATAGACAACTTATTAATACGAAAGAGGATATGTTAACTTTGATAAAAACATGAAAAAAAATAATGATGGTAGGGATAACAGCTGTTATTTGGGCAATCTGGAAAACAATGAACAAGGCCTGTTTTAAAAGTGAACTACTATGAGACCCTGTTGAACTAATTCACTCTGTTTGCGCTTTGATTGCATCATGGGCGATTCTGCAGAAGTTGGTCGAAAACCAAGAAAGAATGTTTTGGGGGTATAACTTCTAAGGCGGGTGGCCGAGGAGATGTACAGTTCACAATTTGGATAGAGAGGCAGTAGCAGAAGACTGGGCTGGAGAAACTAAGCAGTGGCGCTGTCTGATAAAATGTTGAAGGGGAAGGAAGCTTCTGCTTTGTGTTCTTAGGATGCTCTTAGCTCATATGCTGAACTCATTCTAGCTTATCTTTTGTTGTGTTTGCTTCAGAACTATTGGTAGCTGCTGGTTTATGTTTAGAGGTTTTAATTTTGGGACTTCGTTATGTTGCCTTAGATGGTGGATGACACCATTGAATTAGGTAGGCCTGATATATTGTGTTGTCCCAGTTCCTGTAATCTATTTTTGGAACCGTTCGTCTGTTTTTATTATAATAGAAATGCCCAATTCCTGTAATCTATGTTTGGAACAGTTCATCCGTTTCTGTAATATAGATGGGAGGGAGTTTGTCCTCTCTTTTCTACAAAACACTGTATTTTTGTTTGTTTTGGGTGGGATGGTTTGTTGGGGAGTCTGTTTTTTACGTGGGAAGCTACAATGGCGTGTGGTTTCAGGATATGTGCTTTTGGTGCATATTTTTCCTCGTCAACTAGCTGTCGATGAAAAGGTTTATTGTAACTTTTTTTCCTCTATCTTAGTAATATTCGGACTAGTCATCCCAGCGCAAAAAAAAAAAATTCGATGGCATCACTTAATTCCTCACCCCATTAATCCGCCACTACGCTTTTAAAGTAAAGAAAAAGGGAAGAGGATATATGTACTAAATTACCTGGCGGCTTCTAGGAAGAATATGGCTGTGGCGTACCAAAAATCGTGCTGCGACCGGAGCGCCGTCGGGTATCCGCCGAGGAGGACGACGGTGGCCCAGGTGAAGGCCAGCGTGCCGAGCGCGTTGCCCACCCGCTCGATTAGCGCCACCGAGCGAACGAACCGATTCAGCCACTTCTCCGGCGCGGCTGCGGCTGCCTTGCCTTGCCCGTCGGACTTGGCCGCTATCTGCAGTCGATGCTCCCCGCCGGCCATCAGCTCCCGCTTCTTCTGACTTTTCCTCCTCTTGTTCCAGACTTCCAGTGCATGCAGACGTGTTTGGTTTCGCACTCTCACTTTCAACCTGCAGCATCATCTTTTGACTTATACCTTATGAGCTAAAATTTAAATTTTTAAACTTAAATTTGAACCTAATTTTGGGGTAGTTTGTTTTTTAGTCTTTACTTTAGATTACTAAGAACATATATTTATAAATTATTTTCCGTTTGTGAAAACTACCTCCGTTCCCAAATAAATGCAGCCATGAGATTACATGTCTAACTTTGATCGTCCGTCTTATTTAAAATTTTTTTATAACTACTTTTTTTATTGTTATTAGATTATAAAATATGATTAATACTTCATGCGTAATTTATGTTTTTTAGTTGGACACGGAAGGGAATACGTCGTTACAATGGAGTCGCTGACCTTTTCCCGCTCGATAGTTCCAGTGACCGTTTGTTTGGTCATCGCCGTGTCGCCAGGGTCGGAGACTTCGTGCTAAAGCCGAACGCCTCTGGATGGACGGACGGATTGGAGTTTGTTTTGCCCGCGACGCGACGGCAAGACGAGGAGCGCGACATGGGCCTTACGTTACGTGGGCCGTGTAGGCCTTCGCGAGAGCGCGGATGGATGTGTGGCTAATGGGCCTCGCGGGGACAGAGACCGCCTCGTGCGGTGCGGGGTTAGCGATGGCGTCGCCGGAGCGGGGCGAGCGGCGGCGCGCGAAATGGCCGCGCCGGCGGCGAGCGGATCAGCAGAGGAAGCTCGGTGTGGAGAGCTCCAACCCGCCTCCCTTCCAGGTGCAATTACCTTCTCGACTCCCATCTCTTCATCTCTCTTTCCGCATTCCTTGTCCCGCCGGTGCCCGTGCGTTTGGTGCTCAGATTTAGGGTTTACAGGTTAGTTTCTGGAGTATAATTATTTTTTTCCTCCCTTGCTTGGTCTTGGGATTGGAACTGGTTAAGTGCTTAGTGCCCAAGTGGGTAACCCTGTGGTGTTGGGTATTGTTTCAATTCATACCAATTCATGCTACAACTGCGAATCTGCGATGCCCTTGACAGGTAGAACAGTAATCGCCTGAAATATCCACTGCCGTTGATTCTTTGAACATTACAATACTAAATGTTAATGGTACCAAAGTAGATAAATTCATTACAATGCCTGCAGTTATTCTCGCTGCAAGGCAAAATCTCGTAGTTGCACATATGTCGTGGTCGTCTTGTGTACAATGCTAATACCATTTCCCCCCTCTTAATTTAGATACCAACTCTTAATTTAGCACATCTCCTACATGGATAGCAGTACAAAATGGTACCATCTACATAAACTGCTAATCGTGAGTTTGTGACTACTGAAGATCCTTCTTAACCAATCATTTCACATGATGCATTATTTCTTCTTTTGCTCTTGCCACAAGATTAGAGAGTGGTATGCTGTATTCCATTAGTCCTTCATTCCCCATGAAGAGCCTGTAGTTTTCAACCTTCGAAGGTGTTGCTTCAACCATTGAGAGTGCTTGCATCATCTGGCATTCATCGAAACAGGTTGCATAGCTAGAATTGATCTCCATCATATATATAACTTGCTCAACTATCACCCTCCTTATCCTGGGGCACTGGGCAGTAGGTTTTGTATTTGAATTCAGTGCCTCAACCAGTTTCTTCACTAATGTTTCCTTAATCTGATCATGCTCTAGTTCTATGGCAAAGTCTTCAGGAATGACATGGCATATTTGTGAACTTAGGCCAATAAGGACTTCTCGTTTTGTTGCAACTGTTGTGTCAGTTATTCCATGCAAAACCTGCAATTGAAACAGCAAACTCATTTAAGTTATGATTATTGAAAAACATGGTAAAACGTTATCTAGCCTAGAAAAATAAGGTTATTCCATAGCTAGTTAAGGAAAACAAAAGATTTGCAAGTACAATAGATTTCACTGCAAAGTGCAAACACCTCTATAACTTTCAGCTTGTTGCTTGAATTAGCAGGTCTTACCTGTCGTAAGGAACCAGATAGTTCTGTCAAGTCTGAGCTGCTGAACTTGGATTGAGCATGCAAGCATAGATTTTGAAGAAGACTTGCAGACACATATTTGTATTTGTCATCTTGGATCATGACAGTGAGCTCTCTAATGAATGCATTCCCTGCTTCTTTTAACATTGTTGAGCAGTTATTGACACTTTCCATCGCCAGCATGGCTAATGCTTGACCAGCTGTTATTTTTAGAGATCGATCAGAATATGTGTTTGATGGTGGATGTTGGGCAAGAAATGCTTGGATCAAACTGCTAATGATCGCTTGGATTGAACCTATCTCCTGTCTTGTGTTTTCGTTAATGGCAAGGTTTCTGAGGATCTCTGCTGCCAGCTTCTTATGTTCTTGCCAGCCTTCAATGTCGTCGTCCAATACTTCTTCTAGGTTTCTCAACAGGAATGGATGGCCTGACATCTTCTGCCGCAGTATTATACCGATTTCCCCACCAGTGTTTGAGAGCCTTCCGAGCAATTTCAGTGATGAACCTTTCAGTATTTTTGGCTGTGTCCCATCAGTGTACCCTATAATCTTCGGGATGAGGTCTCTTGCTCTGCCAATTTCCACACAGTTGTTAGGATCACAATTTGCAAGCCTAGCAAGGATTGACATTCCCAGTAAAGGAAGGCGATCTTGTTCTATGAATGTCTCCTCCTTCGGAATCGACCAGCACTTTGAAATCAATTCCCAGCACCCAAGAATCCAAGAATTTTCTTGGTTGTTGTGAAGAAGATGATCTTGGTCAAGATGCTCTTGGCCATTGCCTGTATCCGCAATTGTACGTTGTCTTTCCTCCTGGCTATCATACGTGTAAAGTAGTGGACTTCGCTGTCTCAATTGGTTATCAGTGTCCAGAAGTGAAGATATGTTCTGCATTGACCCAGGGATCGCGATAACCTGGAGGCTCCTTGCAAGCTCAACTACGACTTTCGCAGCCAACAATCTGATTTCCGCATCCTCTGGAGCAGTCCAGCCCAACATGCTGATCGATCTTTCCAATGTTTTTGTGGAGGTGCTGAGTCTGAAGAGCAGAAGCGCCTTAGTGTTCTTCCTTTTCAGAAAGCTGTGTAACATCCGGACCCCATCGAGCTGGTTGCTGGGTGAGTCTGAGTCTGTTAAATCCATGGCAAAGCTGGTCAGTTCCATGTTCATTTTAGAAAGCACACCGCCCGAAATGCATTGTTCAAATATGTATGAGTAGTACTGGTTGATGCATTTCATTCCCCACGGCCGCCTGAACCTGCTTTGATGGACCAGGATTATTCTGAGGATGAAGGAGAAGATCTCGAGGACGCATGCCACAATGTAGAGTGCCCCTTGGATAAGTACTATTACATAGAAGATGTTTAGAGAGAACATGATATTTTTCTTTGTATCTTCTGTTGTCCCGTCAGAATAGTTACGCTCTCCGGCCCAGCTGCAACTCGTAGGAATGTCTAGGGGCTCATATTCACCTGCCTGAGTGTAGAACAAGATTTTTACCACTGCTTTGGCAAAAGTTTGTACATTGTCGACACAGATAAGAGTTGTTGGCTGTACCATTGCGATTACAACACGTGCGACCGCTGCTGGTATCTGCAAGTTGCCAAATGACTCTAGTACCAAAGCAAATATCAGGAAGAATACAATGAATCCTAAACCATGCCACGACCGGTACCCAAAGATGACTATCGCAGCACCCGTGCATAAGAACAGAATGACCGGACGCAAGAACAGCATCTTTCGGACGACAGGGCCATTCACTAGTGAGGTTATCTTTCGGGCTCTGAGTTGTACTTGTGGGTCGCGCAGAATAGGTTAAGAATCGGTGGGCATACATTCTTCATAAGTACAAACACGCACATCGTCATACCCATGATACCAAGCGTTGTTACCCTTACCGGACCGTAGTGCTGATGTGAATATGATGCTGGACTCCATTGGAATTTTTCCACGACGTACACCATGATCTCAGCCATGCACAAAATCAGAACCACCCTGTTCCAACGTGGACGTCTGAAAGCACCCCTTGTCCGAAAGAAAAATTGGTACTCCAACCTGCTGTTTTGGCTGAACATCCTGTAGTGTCATGAATAGGAGGGTCCAAATTAAATATGTAATGATTACCAGATCTATTTTATAAAATGAGAAAATATTTGCCAGTGTCGGTGGGATGCACGGTGTGCTTATGTATTAGTGTGTGTAACTGTGTATGCACGCGTTTTCCATGTAAATGAAAAAAATATGTGTCATTACACACACATGTGGCACCATGCACATGTTAATGTTTGTATTGATAGTCCATGGTACTATACTTGCCAGCTGTGTGATTTTGCGAAAAACCTTGATTGTGATGACGCGGTGTGATACAATCAACTCCCTTAGACCCTAGGAACAAGGCAAAACTCCTCATGCTATTGATAACACATTCAAAGTTCATGTGGGTTAGAGTTCATGAAAGAGGTATCGCTGATTGTTAGAGAAATGAAAAGCTAGGCCATGATCGACAAGGCTATTATGGATAGTACGTCACGGATTGCGGCTATAGCGTACATCTACTGTACTATATATGAGCTATCTTCATCTATTTGTATAGTGGTGCTCGCGGTTATATGAGCATCAGGACTCACAATTGTCTCTTGGTTAGAAACTTAATTGTTTATGAAGATTTTATGTATTATATGGCATTTTAAACATTTCAAATTCAATACTTCTACAATATCAACTTTCCACAAGTAACCATATCCCTACCTTGACTAGTACTATTTCATATAATAACTTTTGTTGAGTACGTTGTATTCACTTTTGCTTTATTTTTTTAAGATTTGAGATCTATTGCTTTGTTTTAAAGAAGCTGGCCGGGGTTCGAAATTGAGTTCAAGTTCAGATCTAGTTTCAAGTTCAGGTTTAGTTTAGATGGTTTAATGCTTGCAGTAAAAAACAATATAGTTTGTTTATTCTATAGCTTCTCTGCGTAGTTAGCTTCGTATAAAACATTTTATATTTTATGTAATAGATCAATGTCCTTCTTCAAATGTATGGAATGAAGATCTATATTGTATATGTATGTATCGATGTACCCGTCCAGGGGTTTATAGTACAATATATTTGAGATCAGCTGGCAGAGAATGTAGGAGGGCAGGACTGCATGTGTGCACGTGCAGTGGATTAAGCGAGTACTCCCTCCGTCCCAAAAAAAAAAAGACAAACCCTGGTTTCCGTGCCCAACGTTTGACCGTCCGTCTTATTTGAAAAAATTTTGAAAAAAATTAAAAAGACAAGTCACGCATAAAATATTAATCATGTTTTATCATCTAACAACAATGAAAATACGAATTATAAAAAAATTTCATATAAGACGGATAGTCAAAGTTGGACATGCAAACCCAGGGTTTGCCTTTTTTTGGGACGGATGGAGTAGCACGCAACAAGGAGAGTAGCACAGATATGATGAAGGGTGTGCTCGACACCTGGCGTGGAACTGTAGGCACGGAAAATGGAGCAGTCCATTAGGGTTTCTATAGACGCTATTGTACTCATGAGACTGATATAATAACCTCTGGCCAAATAAGATGTAGGGTCATTACCTACCTAAGGGGCCACAACTTTCTTTACATCCCGTATTAGCCGTACCCCATATCTGTGCGAAATAAAAAACCCCATATATCCATAGATACCATAGTCCGAAATTTTAGAAGGTTTATTTTCAAAATATAGCTAAAAATGGTTTAGAAATAAAAATTCTAAGGTTTATATATGGATTAATATCTCTTTGTATGGTGGTCAATGAAAGGAATAGATGGTAGCCAATAAAAAAATACTTCAAAATAATGTTTAATTACCCCATACGTAGAGATTGATAATGGAGTGCAGTGGGCGGAAACAATTAATAGATATTTACTCTATATTACCTCGGGGAAACAAGGCTCACAATTAATAGATATTTACTCTATATTACTCCATCCATCCAAAAATATAACAGGTATAATTTGTTTATAGAGACTCTACATAAAATTTGAACATTAATTTTTGAATATATTATCAACAACTACAAAGTTGATATAAATTGTATTGTTTTTCTATATATAAATTCGTGGGCGTTTGTATTTTGGGGATGGAGAAATAATTTGACCAGAGGTTCCAGATGATTATTGCTGACCTTGTTGCTTCGAGGAAAGCCAAGAACGTTGCCGACAGAAACTCACGCGTGGTGACCATCGTTGAAAATCCGCCGAGTATAACAACGGTCGCCCAAGTGAATACCAGCGTGCCGATGCCGTTGCCCGCCCTCTCTATGAACGCGATGAGGCGGACGAAGCGGTTCAGGTGCTTTTCCGGTGCTGCCGATGCGGCGGCGGCGGCGGCCTTGCACCTTCTCCGAGTAGCTTCAGCGGTGGTTGGGCTCACCATTTTTGCTTCAGGGTTTGTTAGATCACGCTAAAATTGAAAGTTTGGTTGAAATTGGAACGATGTGACGGAAAAGTTGAAAGTTTGTGTGTAGAAAAGTTTCGATGCGATGGAATAATTGGAAGTTTGAAAAAATAGTTTGGAATCCTTTTCCTGTTGCTGTTCCCAAGCTGCTTTTACAATGCCATATATATAGTGTACTCCAGAACTAGATCGATCATCACATGGCACGTATACACAACAACAATTGACGTGTACTATACTTCACAGTTCGTATTTACTAGTAAATTAATAGCTCCTTTAATTTCCTCTTTGCTCTGACGACTTCTCACCGTCGCTAACAATATGCTTTAGGTGGTGTTTAGATACAGGGACTTAACTTTAGTCCCTGTCTTTAGACACTAATTTAGAGTATTAAATATAGACTACTTACAAAGTTAATTATATAAATGAAAGCTAATTTACGAGACAAATTTTTTAAGCCTAATTAATCCATAATTAGAGAATGTTTACTGTAGCATCACATAGGCTAATCATGGATTAGTTAGGCTCAATAGATTCGTCTCGCGAATTAGTCCAAGATTATGGATGTGTTTTATTAATAGTCTACGTTTAATATTTATAATTAATATTCAAACATCCGATGTGATAGGGACTTAAAAGTTTTAATCCCATCTAAACAGGGCCTAAGGCAACACGTAAGCGTGGATCGAATGGTTTCTATATGTTCGGTCAATGCATGGTTGAGAGTAGCTTACCTAGAAATTTAGATGATTAGTGCCTTTTGGGATCTCAGCTGTTTGCAGAAATTTACTAATTTAGAAATGCTGCTTTGCTTTTAAAGATGTTGTGTCGGGTGTGATCTTACCAAATTAATCGATCCACCACCTTGTTAGTTTTTTTGTTTCTTCGTGGACCATTTTGCAGTAGGGAGAGGAAATGATAAAGAATGCTGCGATGCATGGGATCATATTCACCATGGGGGTGCATGCAACTGTGCAAGTTTCTTAAGCAGGTTGCAAAGCGAAATCTTCAAGACGAGGTTTCGATCGAAAGCGAAATCCTCTTCAGGACGAAGTTTCAATATGGAAGGCTTGTGCAGTACGCGGCTATACGCCTGGGATGACGATGGGTCATGACGTTTCTCGTTTTGGTTCTTCATTTATTATTCCCTCCGTTTTCTAAATATTTGATACCGTTGACTTTTTAGCATATGTTTGACCGTTCGCTTTATTCAAAAACTTTTGTGAAATATATAAAACTATATGTATACATATAAGTATATTTAACAATAAATCAAATGATGGGAAAAGAATTAATATATAATTACTTAATTTTTTTAATAAGACGAACAGTCAAACATATTTAAAAAAGTCAACGACATCAAATATATATAACTTTCGACAGCAAATTCCTTTAAAATATTTCAAATGTAATTATAGTGTAACTATGAAATAACTATAGTGTAGCTCATACATAGCTCGCATATAACTTGTTTAAGAATTTGCGCGGCTTGGTTGACTATTAGTTGTAGCTTTCAGCCATGAGATCTGTCGACGTTTGATATCACGACTAGGGTATTTGGATGGTATGGGGATCATCCGTATCAGGGTATATGCGAGATTGAGGTAAAAGAGATGGATACAAAGATTTTTATACAGGTTCGAGCCTCTTATCTGACAGGTAATAGCCCTACATCCTGTTGGTCGAAGCCGGTGTTGCTCCTTTATTCATCCGAATCACACAAATACAATAATTGGGATAACATATCTAGCTGTCGTTGACTTGGCGGCATGGATAACTAACTCGTAGTCGACGATAGGGTAGTCTTCCTCCTTAGAATTAATCCGCACTCGGCGAGATTAGAGATTGCGCTAGATCCCTCTTGTTGACCTCCGCAGACATCATATTGGGTTTGTTTAGGCTTATCTCTGATGTCGATATCCGGCGGCGCATGTTGGCTTGTGTATATGTTGTGTCTTGGTCTTGTGGCTCTTGTCCCCTCTCCTCCTAGGGGGGCTTGTATTTATACCCATAGATGTCTCTTTGTCCAAGTTGAACTAGGGAGACAAGTATGGATACGATCTTAGTAGTCCTTATAATTTCCATATAGAACTCTATCCGTCCTTCCTTATCTGGAACTCCTTCTATATATGAGGTATGATTCCGTATAAAACATAATATGTGGTGTGCCTCGCAGTGCTTAGTCGATTACTATTGGGTATGTGGTATTCATAATACTGACAATATCAGCACCACTCCACGCGTGGCTTTGAAATTTTTTCTCTTTGCATGAATCTTAAAGCACATTATTTTAGCAAAACCCTAAAAATACAAATCCAGTAATAGGTTTATACCACCGATAGTAGGTACTCCGTACTATAATAAGTTTATTTTTAGCTTCTCATATTTATCTCGAAATAAATTAATTTTTAAGTAATCATGAAGTCGAAATTTGTAAAAGTAGAGAATAATTATATTTGAGTAGTTAAAATGAGGAATAATTATATTAAAATTTAATAAAGTATGGTGCGTCTAGTTTTTTATTTTGTATTGGTATATACTTAAAAAACGAAAATATATTTGGACAATACGCATGGTTGGATTTTTGTTGAGAGCCCGGACGGATGTGTGGGGTAATGGGCCTCGCGGGTCAGACCGCCTCATGCGGGGTTAGCGGTGGCTTCGCCGGTTGGCAAGCGCCGCTCCGGCGGCGAGCAGATCAGCAGGAGCAGCACGGTGTAGAGAGCTCCAGCCCGCCTCCATTCCTTAATACCGGGTGCCATTACCTTCTCTCGCCTCCCTCCCATCTCTTGATCTCTTCCTGCCTTCCTTCTCCCGCCGGCGCCCGTGCGTTTGGTGCTCAGATTTAGGGTTTACAGATTAGTTTCTGGAGTATAACTTATTTTTTCCTCTCTTGCTTGGTCTTGGGATTGGTACTGGTTAAGGGCTTAGTTCCCAAGTGAGTAACCCTGTGGTGTTGGGTATTGTTTCAATTCATACCAATTCATGCTACAACTGCGATGCCCTTGACAGGTAGAACAGTAATCGCCTGAAATATCCACTGCCGTTGATTCTTTGAACATTACAAGACTAAATGTTAATAGTGCCAAAGTAGATAAATTCATTACAATGCCTGCAGTTATTCTCGTAATTACACATATGTCGTGGTCGTCTTGTGTACAATGCTAATAATACCATTTTCCCGCTCTTAATTTAGATACCAACTCTTAATTTAGCAGATCTCCTACATGGATAGCATTACAAAACAGTACCATCTACATATAAACTGCTAATTGTGAGTACTGATGCTGATGCTTCTAAAATTCAAAAAGGAAATTGTGATGCTTCTTAACCAATCATGTCACATGACGCATTAATTCTTCCTTTGCTCTGGCGACAAGATTAGAGAGTGGTATGCTGTATTCCATTAGTCCTGCATCCCCCATGAAGAGCCTGTACTTTTCAACCTTTGAAGGTGTCTCTTCTACCACCATGAGTGCTTCCATCATCTGGCATTCATTGAAACAGTTCGCATAACTAGAATTGTTTTCCATCATATATATAACTTGCTCAACTATCACCCTCCTGATCCTGGGACAGTGGACAGTAGGTTTCACATTTGCATTCAGTGCCTCAACTAGTTTCTTCACAAATCTTTCCTTCATCTGATCATGCTCTAGTTCTCGGGCAAAGTCTTCAGGAACGACATGGCATATTTGTGAACTAAGGCCAATAAGGACTTCAAGTTCTGTTGCAACTGTTGTGTCAGTTATTCTTTCCAAAACCTGAAATTGAAACAGCAAGTCATTTATAAGTTACAATTATTGAAAACAAGAATTCCACTTATCTTTATTCGTTTTCTACTCTTTTCGTCAGTCCTGCAATATAGCTCTGAGTAGTCTTTGGACTGTGCTAACAAACTGCACATATCACCATAGGCATGGTTATGCAACATTGTAAAAAGTTACTATCTAACAAAGAAAAATAAGGTTATTCCTTTTTATTAAAAAAAGGTCATTCCATAGCAAGTTAAGGAAAAAGAAAGATTGCAAGCACAATAGATTGCACAGCCTCTAATTTTGAGCTTGTAGGTTGAATGAGCAGGCTCACCTTTCGCAAGGAATGAGATAGTTCTGTCAAGTCTGAGCTGCTGAGCTTGGATTGAGCATGCAAGCATAGATTTTGCAGAAGACTTGCGGCCATGTATTTGTGTATGTCATCTCGGATCATGGCAGTGAGCTCTCTAATGAATGAATATCCTGGTTCCTTCAACATTGCTGAGCAATTATTGACACTTTCCATTGCCAGCATGGCTAGTGCTTGACCAGCCGTAATTTGTAGTGACCGATCAGAATATGTGTTTGATGATGGATGTTGGGCAAGAAATGCTTGGATCAACCTGCTAATGATCACTCGGATTGAACCTATCTCCTCCCTGCTGTTCCCATTGATGGCAAGGTTTCTGAGGATCTCTGCTGCCAGCTTCTTATGTTCTTGGCTTCCCTCAGTGTCTCCCAAGATTTCTGCCAGGTTTCTCAACAGGAAGGGATGATCTGACATCTTCTGCCGAAGGGTTATACCAATTTCCCCACCAGTGTTTGAGAGCCTTGTCAGCAACTTCAGTGATGAACCTTTCAGTATTTTTGGCTGCGTCTCATTACTGTACCCTATAATCTTCTGGATGAGGTCTTTTGCTTTGCTGATTTCCGCACAGTTGTCAGGATCACATTCTGCAAGTGTCTCTAGGATTGACATTCCCAGTACAGGAAGGAGATCATGCTCTATGAATGTCTCCTCCTTTGAAGTTTTTTTGCGCTTTGAAATCAATTGCCAGCAACCAAGCATCCAGGAGTTAAGTCGGTTGTTGTTGTGAGGATGATCTTGGTCAATATGCTCTTGGCCATCACCCGTGTCCACAATCGTACCTTGTTTTCCCTCCTGGCTGTAATATGTGTAAAGTAGCGGATTTCGTCGTCTCAATTGGTTTTCAGTGTCCAGAAGTGAAGATATGTTCTGCATTGACCCAGGGATACCAATAATTTGGAGGCTCCTTGAAAGATCGACGATGACCTTTGTGGCAAACAATCTAACTTGCGCATCCTCTGGACTTGTCCAGCCCAACATGCTGATCAGTGTATTCAATGTCTCTGTGGAAGTGGTGAGTCTCAAGAGCAGAAGTGCCTTGGTGCGCTTCCTTTTTAGAAAGCTGTGCAGCATTTGGATCCCATAGAGCTGGTTGCTGGGTGAGTTTGAGTTTGTGAAATCCATGGCAAAACTGGTCAGTTCCATGATTCTTGGAGCAAGTGCACCACCGGAAACACATTGCTCGAATATGTACGAATAGTACATGTCTACGCATTTCCTTCCCCACTTCCGTCTGAACCTGCTTTGACGGACTAAGTGTATCTTGGGGATGAATGAAAAGATCTCGAGAACGCATGCCACAATGTAGAGTGCCCCTTGGGTAAGGACTATTACATAGAAGACGTCTAGAGAGAACTTGACATTTTTCTTGGTGTCTCCTAAAGTACCGTCAGGATATGTATGTTCTCTGGTGCAATTCTTTGGAATGCCGATATAGATACCCGATGTTCGCTGCGTCACTGCTGTCAAAATACTTTGGACACATATGACCGTTGTTGGTTGTATCATTGCTATCACAACACGTACGACTGCTGCTGGTATCTGCAAGTTGCCAAATGACTCTAATACCAAAGCAAATATCAGGAAGAAGGCCATGGGTGCTACTATATAGGCAGAGTCCGAATACAGGCTTCCCAATATCGCTATTACAGCGCACATGCACAAGAACAGAATCACTGGACGCAAAAACGACATCTTGCGGCAACAAGGACTATTCACTATTGAGGTTATGCATCGAAATTGCAACTTGGTTATTGTCACTATGATCACTGCCGTAAGGAGCAATGCGAAATATTTCCTTAATGCAGGCAATCTGTCTGGATGGGGTATTGATGTTTCCAGGAACAGACAAGGCACCAACAACAGGATTGCAGCCAGGGGACTCCATAGTGATACAGCTCTGAGTTGTGGGTCGCCGAACAGCTTAAGAATCACTGGGCATACAAGCTTGGCAACTACAAACAGGGACATGGTCATACCCAGGGTTATAAACGGTGTTACCTTTACCGGACCTAGATGATACACTGGAGCTGGACTCCATCGGAACTTTGCCAATCTGAAATTCGCAAATCTGAACTTTGCCATGACGCACACCATGGCCTCAGCCATGCATACAATCAGAATCAACCTGATCAGGCGAGGACGCCTGAAAGCTCCCCTTGTCCGGAAGAAGAATTGGTACTCTAGCCTACTGTTTTGGCTGAACATCCTGCAGTACAATTGAACTATATGAACTAATCTCTCTCTTTTTATGCTTTTGACAGTAAAACAAAAATGGAAGTTGATTGCTGACCTTGTGGCTTCCAGGAGAGCTAGCAACGTTGCGCAATTGAACTCCCGTGTGGTGAGCATCGTCGAGAAGCCACCGAGGATGACGACGGTTGCCCATGTGAATACCAGAGTACCGAGGCCGTTGCCGGCCCTCTCTATGAACGCGATGATGCGGACGAAGCGGTTCAGGTGCTTCTCCGGTGGCTCTGGCGGCGCCTTGCACCGTTGCCGAGTTGCTGCGTCGCCCGCTGGGCGCGCCATCTTTCTTCAACGACTTTTTTGCAGTTTGCCGCGCGGCGGCTAGCTCGACCTCCATGCTTTCACAATAATATAGAGCGAGGATTACAAAGAGAGAGAGACAGTTGACTGCACTTCACGGTTAGTATTTACTGATCATTTTTTACTCGATGTTTTTGACTTCTCAGTGTCATTAAAATAATGTAGTTTAGGAAGATGTGTGTGTGGATATGATTGGTTAATATTTGGCTTTTATCCTGTACAGAATACTTCTCATTAATTTGTTTGGTCAACGGCCGAGTAGCTTTCCTACAAACTTTTTTAATTGTTGCGATTGCATTTGTTTGCTGGGTTATTTGGAAACCTGGAGATGTTGCTTTTGCTTTAAAAATGTTATCCCTGGTGATCTTACGGAATTGATTCCTTGCTTTTGTTTTTGGATTTCTTCGTAGGCTATTTTGCAGAGAGAATTTAGACTAACAGAGGGGTGGAAAAGAGAGAAAAAAAAATTAATCATACACCACTGTTTTATTTAAGTTTGGATTCGATAAAATGCCATTTACTGCATTGTCATTGTCACCCTTGATAAAACGCTACTTTTGGGGAGTTTGTGCCATTTTTAATATAGTTTTTTATTTGTTTTTCACAGATCGGCTGCACGAAAATGCTAAATTGCCCCTACTTCTTTCTCAGATCGATTGGTTCGTCAGGCCGCATGAAGGACGCGACGCTGGAGACGAGGAAGACGGTGGTCGGGTCGAGGCCGCCGGCAACGAGGTCATTCCACCGCCGCTGGGGTGGCCGACGCGGCTACTGGCTGCGCCACTTGGTCAATCTGCTCATCACACTTGGTCATAGTGCCACGTGCAAAATGCAGACTTTTTGTGTACTGAAATGCATTTGACTAGCTGTTCGCCAGGAGATCTAATTGAGCAACCTTTGGCTGAAATATATGACTAAGAAAAAGACAACTAATTATGGAAAATGAATACAACCCATCTGTGTAATTAGGGTGCTTTCGAATATAAGTTTTAGTTTGGAATTTTTTTAGCATGTAAAATGAGACAAGTCATTAACGCAATTGAATATTAATTTTTACAATTCAAAAAGTGTGTTTATTTGATTTTTAAAAACAAAATTATAATTATTTTAAAAAATCATACCTTTTAGCCCGTTTAGAATATGCTCATGGCAACGAACGGGTTGCATAAGCGCTACGATACACGGATACGGCCATCTAGTCGCGTATTTGTGTCGGACACGCGAATGGACACGGATACGTGTCTGACACGCCCGGATACGTGTCAAGTACGTATCAAGCATTTCCATGACTTTCAGATAAATAAATTAATTCTGGATATGTCTCCGATACGATCTTGACACTTGCCCGATACGTTCGAACCCTCAAACCGCGTGGGGCCGTGTGGGGTATCGACCCAGCCCATCTGGTTTGTCGCCTCCATCTGTTCCCGACGCGCCTCACGCGAGTCACGAGCTCCAGCGCTGTCATCATTGGCTCACGGCCAGGTAGCTTTGAATTGTCTGATGGTGCAGCAACACGAAAACTTGCACTTTTTTTTTGTAAAAACTTGCACTTATTTATAATCTATGTTTTCCCTCTGTTGTTTGTAACTTTAGTGGTTGATGCTACTACAAATCTACAATTACAAGCATGATGTATCAATTTACTAGTCTTTTAGTTATATACGCTTATTTCTTCTTAAATATTATTGACAGCTAGAAGCAATATAAGTCTAACCACTCCAAAAACTTTACTTACCAGAGAATTAGAGAAGATTCGCTACATTAGAATCACCAATCAGCTATATCAATACTATTTTTCAGTTTATTAATTTTCTGTATTCTTTATTTTTCATATATATTAACGTATCCCCGTATCCTCATTTTTTAGAAAATGCCGTATCCCCGTGTCGCCGTATCGCGTATCCGTGTCCGTATCCCCGTATCTGGGTAACATAGCATAAGCGAGCTACCGAACAGTATCGGAAACCTATTGGGTCAGCCATCATATACGAACAGCAAACTTTATAGTACTAATTTCATTGCCAATCTGGCACGGAAAATTCGACGAACACGCATATGTAAAACTACTACGAAGACTTCAGCAACTACTCGAGAACTGGACAAACCGGACAACATTATTTGCTCGTGGATAAAAACTCGTATCAACGTTACATCGCGTGGAATATCTGGACGGAATCTCGGATCGTTCGAAAGCCTAATACGCTTGAGGGACTACTCTCTTCGTCCCATAATATAATAATTTAGAATTGAATAGGATATTTCATAGTACAACAAATCTGGACACACACTCTATGAAATGTTCCACCCAATTCTAGATTGCTATATTTTAGAACGGTGGTAGTACTAGTTAGCGCATACTAGCTGCTACAGTAACTCAGGATATCTTTTGTGATGTTGGCATAGATGCATGGCAGTATTCTAGGAAGGTATCATATGCTGAAAGCAAAAAGGAGGTAGGAGTAAGAGCTAAGAAGGCATTGGATATTTGGATCTTTCCAATGATGCACGGAACTCTTTTATCACTGGAGGTGAGTATACCTGATTTTGATTCAACTAAATGTATGTTGCTTTTTTTAGCACAAATTAAATGACAAAGCGACTGCTGGCATTTTACTTAAATTATTTTTAAGTGGTTTTTAGCTAATACTTATTTTATTATTTTTAAGTGGTTTTAGCTAATACTTATTTTTTTTTCAAAAACACACTACAAATGTAGTCGCTCACTCCTCTGAGCACATACACGCACACTCTAGCAACATATTTTGAGATTGACAAAGTCATCGTAGGCGGTATTTAAGATTTGAACTCGGATGGAATGGTTCCAAAAAAAATCTAACCAGTTGAGCTCATACTTAATTAATCACGTGCTAGTACGTTGCTCTGTTTTATGGGCTGTGAGTCCCTAGCAACTCCTCCTACTTGTGGCCCGCATGTAAAGTGACCCTTGTTTTTTCTGCCCATTCTTATATGCAATTGGCAGAGCTCCTGCCATCTTCCCCTCGAAAAAAAAAAACGTGTTGGAGTTTTGGTGGGGAAAGGATCCAAAACCCTGTAAAACAACACAGAATGAACCCCCTCCAAACGAAAGAGCTAATCGGCGAATAGTCGCGCGCCTGCCCCCCCCCCCCCCACTCCCCGCGCACGGCACGTGGTGCACGAGGAGAGGGGCGGCGCGCGATTTTTTTCCCTTTCCCTTTTTTGTGGTTTTCTGTTCTGGTTTTTTCTTTTTGGTTTTTTCTTTCTGGTTTTCTCTTTTCTGTTTTTTTACACTTCTGATTTTTAACATATACTTATATAAACTTTGTATTTGTACAAATACAAACTTTATATACGCGTGTACAAACTTTGTATATATGTATACAAACTTTGTATACATGTATTTTTGGGTTTTTATGCGTACATATACCAATTTTGTATACACTATACAAAGTTTGTATACACATATATAAAGTTTGTATACGTGTATTTTTTAGGTTTTATATATACGTATACCAATTTTGTATACACGTATACAAAGTTTATATACACGTATTTTTAGATTTTTTTTTGTACGTACGTACACAAACATTATATACATGTGTATATTTTTTTATACATTAAAAGTGTATACATATAAAAAAAAAATTATATGTATACACATACGCATGTATATACTACTCCCTCCGTTTCACAATGTAAGTCATTTAAATGAATCTAGATAGATATATCTATCTAGATTCATTTACATCAATATGAATGTGAGAAATGCTAGAATGACTTATATTGTGAAATGTATAGTAGCGTAGGCTAGGGGGGTATCAGCGCCCCCCCCCCCCCCCCCCAACGCTTCCGAATTCTGCGACCTTTGGGGGAAAACTGATGGGCCGGATTGGATTACAAGCACAAATTGGGCTTCAGTTTTTCGAGAATAAGTTGGGCTCGGCTTTTTTAAGGAGAAAATGGGCTTTTACCACGCCGGAGCATGAGGTGGGCCACGATCAGCAGCGGCCTTCGCCAGCGGGTAGCTCGGGCATGGCGACGAGCAGCTCGCGCCTTGACGCCGGCCGGCGAGTGCGAGCCCGCTCCCATCCATGGCAGGAGCCCGAGAGTGAAAGGTAGCCCGCTCTTCGCCTCCCTCCTCCGCAGTTTCTTCCTCCATCTCCTTTGGACTTCTTTTTCTAGCCATGTGCTGCGCGCGCCGGAGATCCACCCGCCGGGGCTGCACGGCTGTTGTTTGTTGAAATGCCTGAACTGAATCAACCCTGATACCATCTATCACCAGGGGATGCAATGCTGACATCTATAATTGTGCTTCACCTTCATTGGCAGTCAAGTTGAATGCCTGAGCAATTCAACTGTAAGCATCGCTGCCAAAACACGGATGAGGAAGGTGCGTTTTTTGGGGAATACATGAATGTGCGTTTTAATACTCCTTAGTCTCTGAATCACTCAATGGTGGTGTCTCCGTTCTACTTGCCTCCATGGTTAGGAATCTTCGAACTATGCGCATTTGTAGTAGTTCAACTGCATCATAGATATGATTTTCGTGAGGAAATTAAGCTTGTTTACTACGGGCTTGTTCACTTTGCTACCATTTTCAACCTTACCAAGTTTTCGCATTGCTAAATTTTGGCAAGATTTTTTGCCGGGCCGGCGAATAGCCGCCCGATATATATTAAGAGTAAGAAAGGGAATGTACAAGGTAGCGCGGTGCGTTAATGCACCACCATTACAAACAAAAAAATTTTTTGGCAAGATTTCATATGTACTTACTAAAATTTGGCAACAAACTAAAAGTAGCCACTTTTTTTTGGTAACTTTGCTAAAAAAAAAGGTAAGGTTGAAAATGGTAGCAAAGTGAACAAGTCCTACAAGTATTAGTACAACCTACATATGACATCCATTTTCTTAAAAAAAAAAAACCCTACATATGACATACATAAATAGTCAGTTGACACTGCTGATGCTAGTACCATTCATGGCTCATCAGCTATTTTGCTCTAGCCACGAGAGTGGAAAGTAGTGCGCTGTGCTCCATGAGTCCTGTGTCACCTGAGAAGCTGAGAACAACATTTAGTTTTCAGTCCTTGAGGATGGGTTTTCTACCATTGATAGCTTTCCATCATCCAGCATTTGTGAAAAATCGCTTGCATGGGCAACATGGAAAGAATTGAACTCCATCAAGTATATAGAATGCTGAACAATCACCCTTCTGATGCTGGGACTGTGAACACTGGGATTCATATGTGCATTAAGTGCATTGACAAGCCTTTTTACAAATCATTCCTTAATCTGACCATGCTCTAGTACTCAGGCAAAGTCTTTTGGAATGACTTTACAATTTCCTAAACCAAGCCCGACAATTTCCTAAACCAAGGCCAATAAAGGATTCTAGTAGTTGCCACCATTGTGCCAGTTATGATTGTTCCAGACAAGAATTCCACCTGTTTTTAGGCTGTTTCTACTCATGAACTCACTCTTGTGGTATAGCACTAGTCTCTGGATTCTGCTACAAGTCTCTGTGCATATGAGCCTATGCATGACTATGTAATATTGTACAATTTAGTAACCCATTACAATTATAAATGCAAAATCATCTCCTACATTTTTTTCAGTTGGCACTACTGACTCCTTGCAAACACTGTTGACCCATCAGTTCTTTTGCTCTGTCCACAAGAGCAATGAGAGGTATACTATATTCCATGAAACCCACGTCACCCAAGAAAATCGTATAGTTCTCAGCCCTTGAGGGCATCTCTTCTACCATCGATAGTGCTTCCATCATCCGTAATTCATTGAAGCAATTGGCATAGTGAGAATTGCACTCCATCATGTATATGGATAACTCAATTATCACCCTCCTGATTCCAGAACAATGACCACCTGGGTTCATATTTGCATTCAGTGCGTCAACTAGTCTCTTCATAAATCTTTTCTTAATCTGTCCACCCTCCAGTTCTTGGACAAATTCTTCAGGAATGACTTTGCATATCTGTGCACATAGGCCAATGAGGATCTCTAGTTCTGCCCCCTCTACATTCATTATTCTTTCCAACACCTGTAATGGAAACAACACAATGTAGCATGAGTTGCAACAACATAATTCAGCCAAAAAAAAAAACTCTAGTTCACTAGTAAATAAATGCTCCCATTTAATAAAGTGTAAGTGGAATTTCATCAGCTGGCATTGGCATAAAAGAACATATGCAAACAAGAAAGCACATTATACACAACAAATATTGATTGCATCTGTAGCATGAAGGAGCAGGGCTTACCTCTCGTAAGGTGTGGCATAGTTCCTTCAAGTCTGATTCTGTGAGCTTGGCTTGGGCGTGTTGGCACATGCTACACAGCAGGCTAGCCGCCGCATATGTGTACTTCCCATTTTAGTTAGTCCCATGACGGGATATGGACCTACGTTTGGCCCATGTTAGTTGGGCCTGAACGGGCTCCTAGATTTCTTGGGCATTCGTATATGGGCCGAATGCACCAGCCTCCCTTCCCTTTAGGTCGATCTCCTCAAGAGGCCTTCCGCGAGCATATTCTGATAGGCCGCGCTCGCCGGCGACGAGCGTCGAGCGTCTCGCCGCCGGCCGGCTCGCCCAGATGCGAATCCTCCGCTCTATTCCGCGCTCTCTTGCCCCAATGCACCGCCTCTCTTCTCCCTCGCGATCTCCTTTCACTTCCATGTCAAGTGCAGCGCCTCACTGGTTATTGCCACCACCAGTGCCTACACGACGAGTTTCTCCACCTATGGTGTCTCCCAATCCACCTGTTTTCCGGTGAGTTTTCTTGTCCTGATGCTGAAGTTTGTGCCTTTATTTGCTATATATATATATAGTCTCGAATTCCCTTCTCATGATTTTTTAAGGCAAATTTAGTGTGTGAGGGTTATTTGGGTTTTGATTTACTCTTGCAACTTATGTTGGTCCTCAGAAGGCAGATGGGGAAAAAATAAGTTTCTTTTAGCTATATATAATCCAATAGGAACAGAGAAAAAAGCGACCGAGAAAAAAAATAGAAATCTGTTATGGATTTCAGGCTTAGATAATGTTAAATTACGATTTCAAGCCTCTGACTTGATACCATCTTACTATTTATTTCGGATATTGATATTGTTTTTTTTATATTCTCGTGAATGATAGATTTCCTTGGGAACCTCAGTTCATGACCACCATCAGTCGAGTGAAAGGCAATGAATTTGGTAAACCATACAGACGGCCACACATCTCCTCTGCCAACGTTATTATTCCATCCCAGGACAAGAAGTATTCTGTGATCACCCAAGGCATGAAAAACATTGACACCAAGGGCACAATCTCAGATGTTATAGCTGGAGATGAGAAAATTGATAAAGAGGTTCGGAGGAGCGATGGGGCGTGAGGCTCTCACCTACCACCCGGCGGACCACCATTCCGGTGCCCGCCGGCCACCATCCAAGCCGCAGTTCGGCTCGTGGCGCGACGTCGTGAAGAAAGGTAGGGGCCCTGCCGCCGCTGAGGAGGCAGCTTGGACGGAGGTCCGGCGGAAGGGGAGCACGGAGCATTCACTGCGGGCAGGTGACCCAACCTCCAACAAACATGACAGAGCATTCAAGCCGAGGAAGGAGTTCAGCAACCATGACAGGGCATTCAATTCGGAGAAGGAGATCCCTCGCTGGCTTCTGGGGCGCTGCTTCAAGTGCCTAGGATTGGGTCATCGCAAGCTTGACTGCAAGGGAGAGACAAGGTGTTTCCATTGCTGGTACCCGGGTCACCTAGCGTGGGCGTGTCCGGAGAGGAAGGAGGTCTCTGGGGGCAATCCGGGGCGGCAGAGCCAGGGGAGAGCAGTGCGTCTGGGCGCAGAGAGGTGGCCGTCTGGGAGAAGAGAACAACAGGCCTAGGGGAAGGTGAAGCAGGTGGTGGTAAGGGAGGTGCCGCTGGCGAAGTCGAAGATCGTCAAGCCGGCCCCACAGGCGACAGAAAAGGGCGCGGTGATAGCCATGGCGGGTGCTAACCTGGGCGGCTACCAGATCTGTGCGGCCACGCCGCCGCAGTTCGTGGAAAAGTACCGCATCGGCGAGCCCGACTCGCGGCCAGAAAGGGGGCGGGTGGTGCTGTCCTGGACCTCCGGGATGGAGCGCCATGAGAGGTACCTCCAGGAACTCTCCCTGATGGCGTCGGTGCTCAAGGGACGGCCGCCCGTCTCGCCGGCAGAGCTTGCGGAGGCAATCGAGCTGCACACAGGCGTGCAGCAGCGTTACTTCAGGGTGGAGGTCACGCGCCCGGAGGATTTCCTGATCTCGTTTCGGAACCAGAGGGAGAAGGAGGCGGTCCTGCGGTGTTCAAAGGCGCTGTTCTGTAATGAGGTGCCTGTTTCGTTCAAGCCGTGGAACATATGCTGCTGGGCGGAGGCCTCGGCTTTCCAGTTCTTCACCAAGATCTCCCTCGACGGCCTTCCCCCGCACGCCTGGGAGGAGGAAGCCATGCACAAGCTGGTCAACAGCTTGGACGGTCAGCTTGCCGAGCTGATCCCGGCGGCGGACGCGCGCTGCCTCGGTCTCTTCGCTTGGTTCAAGAATCCGTCCGACCTTTCCCACCATCTGGACGTGGAAATCCCGGAACGCCCGGCCGCAGGGCGATGGCGGGAGGGGACGAGCGCGACACCACCTTCCCCGCCGCGGGAGAAGCCGGCCCTCACCTATCCGGTCATCATCCACGTAGAAGAAGTCATTGACCCTACGCCGTTGCATACTCCGCCGACCTCCTTCGACGACAACTCCGATGATGAAGACGTCACCCGGCGGAACACTTTCTCCTGCTGGGCAGGTCGCTACGATGGCGCTGGTCCCTGGCCGACGGAGGTGGGAGGCGGTCATGTCTACGCCGGTGCGACCGGTTCGGCGGGAGGTCTAGGCGCGCGCTCCTTTGCCCCCATCCCAGGGGAGGTCTCGGCCCCGCCAAGGCGGTTGCTTCAACGCCTGGCGACCATGCCGGCGGCGGGGCAGTCGGGGACAGAGGAGAGCTAGGATGATGCTGTCTTGACAGCTGCGGTGGTGGGGGTCGTTGACATGGCAGCGGCGGACCGGGTTCTAGACCGGGCTGACATTGTTGTTCAAGACATGGAGGCGGGGGAGGTGTTGGCGTCACAGCCGCATTCGCCGACGTTGGTTTTGCAAGCGCCGGGTGTGTGGTTCTCTCCGCAAGCGGTGCAAGCAGTGGAGCAACCAGGGGCCGACGTGGGAATCGCTACCCCGCTGGCGGCGCCTGTGGTTGCAACGGCAAAGGCGCTTATCGTTCTGGACGACGACTGCAGCTGGGCGCTCGTGGCCGGTGGTGTGTCGCCTCTTTCACCGCCGCTCCAACTCTCCCTGGACGAGTTAACCGGCGGTGAACTGTCGGCGCTCGGCACGGAGAAGGATGGCGACCGTGCTGAGCTCAGTGATGAGGTCCGGGAGGCCACTGTGGACCACGTTCACGTTCACGGGGACGACCTGGCTTCAGGGCAGGAAGTCGCATTAACTCCGGATGGGGGATATGCATTAACGCGTGCTGCGTCGGCCCCGCCGAGCGAGCCAGTCATCTTTTGGCGCGTTGGCCAAGAAGCTCTCTTTTGAGGATACGATGGCTGAGGTGTCGCTCGTGGAGCATGGGTGCGAGCGGCCAGCATTGAAGGCGACTGGCGACGCGCTGAGCTCAGCGCAGGAGAGCAGGAGTGATCGTGGGTTTGAATCGGCGGCAAAGGCGGGAGAGTTCCGTGTCTATGTGCGGAAGCAGGCCCAGAAGAAACCGAGCCATGAGCAACCTGGGACGGAGGGGATCGGCCTCATGGGCTTGGCAGGCCAGGATCTGGGGCAGGCTGACCTGAGACGGGCTGTGGCTGGCCTGGGACAGGAAATGTCGGTGGGCCAAGTTGTATGTGGCGAGGACGAGCCACCTCAGGCCCACCAAGAAGAAGTGGCCCACAGCGATGACGAGCGGCCGGTCCAGGAAACTGAGATCGAGAGCAGCAGGGAGGCGCTCAGCGGAGAGATGATGCTCCCACCTCCCGCCTCGCCGTCGACGGCACTCGCCCGCGCGCGGCCAACCTCGGAGGGGTCGCCGGCGAACACGCCGCTACCCCCCGAGGCGGACCAGATTCTTCAGGGATTCCTCGCGTCGGTCGCTACTGAGCCTCCCCCCTCCCTGCTCGGGAGGAGGCCGCCGGAGTCAGTCCCCAAATCCAAGCCTTGTTGGCGCAATGTGATCCCTGAGTGGTTCACGCCGTGGCGCAGCCCACGTCTGCAACAACAAGGGAACGGAGCTCGTCGCCATTCAACTTCAAAAGCGCAGAAGGTAACGATGAAGAAGATGGGCATCATTGAAGAGGAAGAAGAAGCGGATCAAGACACCTTCCAGCAGAACACTACCGTGATTGATCAGCCGTTATCGACCCAGCACATGAAGGTGCTAGCGGAGCTGCTGGATGTGGATGTTGCGCTGGAGGAAGCAGATGTTCCACCGCCGGACCTGGCTTCGCTGGTGGCGGCGGGGGTGGAATCCCCTGCTTGAGCGGCGTTCCAGCGGCGTGCGGCGGTGGTGGAGAGTTTTCCCTGTTTTTAGTTTCCATGTCTCGTCTTAGTGTGCTAGTGTGGAATGTGAGGGGGTTGAATAATCCTGCAAAAAGAAGAGTGGTGAAGGAGTCTGTTGTTAATTCGCATGCGTCTGTTGTTTGCTTGCAAGAGTCTAAATTAGAGGTAGTTGATTTGCTTGTAATCCATGAACTGTGTGGGCCGGATTTCGATGATTTCGTTGCCCTTCCCGCGTCACATACCAGGGGCGGGGTTATTGTGGCCTGGAAGGGGTCCGTATTCCGTGGATCACAAGTGCATTTGGGACAATGGTCGGTGACGGCGAAGTTGGAGTGGATTGCAGGCAACCATTCATGTTTCCTCACTTCGGTCTACGGGCCACAAGATGATAACGAGAAGATTCTGTTCTTGGAGGAACTCGCCGAAATCAGAGGAATCTGTGGGGAGGTTTGGCTTGTGGCAGGTGATTTCAACTTAATAGCGGCAGCGGCGGACAAGAACAACTCGCGGGTGAACAGGCGGCTCATGAATGCTTTCCGCAACAAGATTAATGAACTTGAGCTCAAAGAACTGTATCTGTTCGGGAGGAGGTATACCTGGAGTAGCGAGCAACAAATTCCCACCCTGGTCAAATTGGACAGGGTGCTTGTCTCAACGGAATGGGAGGATGCGTTTCCGGACGCGCACTTGCAAGCGCTGAGTTCGTCCAGTTCAGATCATTGTGCGCTATTGCTTTCTTGCGGGGAAACCCCGCAGGGTAGAAGAAGGTTTCGTTTTGAAACTTTTTGGACGAAGCTTGAGGACTTCGATCAGGTGGTGGCGGATTCCTGGCAGCAGGCGGTTGAGAGCACAGATCCCTACGTCATCCTGTACGTCAAGATGGCGCGTCTTGCTATGTCTCTCTGTTCCTGGGGACAAAAGAGGATCAGTCGCTTTCGCCTCCAGCTCCAGATTGCGAATGAATTGATCTTCCGTTTTGATGTTGCGCAAGAGAACAGACTCCTTTCCCCTCTTGAACGCCGTTTCAGGGCAATCCTGAAGGGCCGCTGCCTGGCATTGGCGTCGCTCGAACGAATCAGAGTGCGCCAGCGGGCTCGGATCTCCCAGCTCCGGGAGGGAGACGCCAACTCCAAATACTTCCATATGAAAGTGAATGCGAGGCGCCGTAAGCTATTCATCCCAGTCCTTGAGTATGAAGGGCAGACAACAACCTCGCAGGAAGATAAAATTGCTCTGGCCAAGGACTATTTTCAGGGAATTTTGGGTGTGTCGGAGCCCAACTCGGCTGAGCTCCAATTCAATCAAATCTTCCCTCTGGCGCCGAACCTACAAGAGCTGGAAGTGCCTTTCTCTGAAGAGGAAGTTTGGAAGGTGATAAAAGAGATGCCAAACGAGAAGGCGCCGGGACCGGATGGATTCACCGGGCTTTTCTACCAACGGTGTTGGCAAGTCATCAAAGGGGAAGTGCTGGCGGCACTGACGAAATTTCACTCTGGGAATCATCAGAATCTCGACAATCTCAACACAGCGGTGATTACTCTGCTCCCAAAGAAGGATGCGCCCACGTTGATCAAGGATTACAGGCCCATAAGCCTGATACACAGCTTTTCCAAGCTTGCAACGAAGATTTTGGCGTCCCGGTTGGCGCCGAGAATGGGCGATCTAGTTGCTGAAAACCAGACTGCCTTCATCCGTGGCCGATCGATACACGAAAACTTCATTTTTGTCAGAGGTTTAGCGCTGCAATTCCACCGAAGAAAGAAGCCTATGATCCTCCTGAAACTTGACATCACTAAAGCGTTCGACACAATCTCTTGGTGTTTCTTGCTGAACTTGCTCCGAAACAGAGGCTTTGGGTCCAGGTGGCGATCGTGGATAGCTGCCCTGCTCCTAACTTCTGAAACCAGAATCTTGCTCAATGGCCATGAAAGTGACAGCTTCAAGCCGGCACGAGGACTGCGGCAGGGTGACCCGTTGTCGCCGCTACTCTTTGTCCTTGTCATGGATGCTCTGCAAGGCTTGCTCGCCAAAGCTACTTCCTGGGGGCTTCTTGCCAAGCTGGACACTCGACGTTCCATCCCAAACACATCCATTTATGCCGATGACACCATTGTGTTCCTGCAACCAATCGAGAGGGAGGCAACAGTGGTAAACGCCATTCTTCAGCTTTTCGGAAAAGCTACAGGGCTCAAGACCAACCTCAGCAAGAGTGCTTTGACGCCGATTAGGTGCGATGATGATGTGTTGGTCGGAGTTCAACAGCTGCTTGGGTGTAGGGTTGAGAATTTCCCGATCACTTACCTCGGTCTTCCACTCTCCCTGAGAAGACCGACGAAGGCGGAAGTGCAACCGATTTTGGATCGGCTGTCCAAAAAAGTGGCCGGCTGGAAGCCCAAACTGCTCTCTCCCGACGGCCGACTGCGCCTGATCAAATCGGTGCTGACCGCGCTGCCAGTTCATTTCATGTCTGTGCTTGTGCTGCCAAAATGGGCAATCAAAGAGTTTAACAAGAAATGCCGAGCGTTCCTGTGGAAAGGGCAAGAGGAGGTTAATGGCGGCCACTGCCTAGTGGCTTGGGATATCGTCTGCAGCCCGAAGGAGTGCGGGGGATTGGGAGTTAAAAATCTGGAATTATTTGGCCAAGCGATGCGAATGAAATGGCTCGCTAGACGATTGGAGCAAAGAGGAAGGCCGTGGACTCTGATAAACTCAGTACCGACAAACGACATCACCGGTCTGTTCCAATCAGTGGCGTCGTTTCAGGTAGGGGACGGTAAAGATACGGACTTTTGGAGGGCGAACTGGTTGCCGAGGGGCTGCATCTCTGTCTCCTCACCTTTGCTCTTCACACACCTGGGCAGAACGAAGCTGACTGTGGCGGAGGCGCTCTCGCAGAATCGCTGGGTGCGCGACATTCGAGGGAGTTTCTCTGCGCTGGCCTTATCGGAATATTTTCGTTTGTGGGATGAGATTCAGGAGGTACAGCTGCAAGAGGATGCCCAAGACTCTACCAGTTGGAAGCTCACTCCTAACAGAGTTTTCTGCACAGCCTCTGTGTATGAGATGTTCTTCGCGGCACGGGTGCGATCTCAATGTGCGGAATTGATCTGGCAAGCTAGGGGCCCGTCTAGACTTAAGTTCTTCATGTGGCTAATCACCAAGGGCAGGTGCTTGACGGCAGACAATTTGCAAAAAAGAGGATGGCCGCATGAAGATGGTTGTGTCCTTTGCAATGGCGATCAGGAGAGCTGCGATCATTTGTTGCTGGGTTGCCCTTTCACTAATAGGATCTGGGGTCTGCTGAGAACGTGGCTAGGAACTCCTTTCCCCCTGCCTGGCGATGACGACTAGGAGTTCGCGGACTGGTGGATTAAAGTCAGACTCTGTTTTCAGACGGGCTACAGGGGCGCTTTTGACTCCCTTTGTATCCTCATCTGCTGGTTCGTGTGGCGAGAACGAAACCTCAGGATCTTTGAACAAAAGGCGAGAACGGCAGCGGAGCTCTTCAGTGATATTAAGGATGAAGTTGCAGTGTGGAGGGAGACCAACATTTTGAGAGAAGTCGGCTAAAGAGCCCGTCGGTGGCGGATTGTTTTGTTTTCCTTTCTTTTCGGTTTCTCTCGACTGTTTAATGTCGATTTGTAAATGTTTTCAAACCCTTCCTTCAAATCTTAATACAATTTGGGCGGCCTGCCTTGGGCCGTCCCGGCTAAAAAAAAAATTGATAAAGATGTGACTGCCTCAGAGGTTATATGTGTCAATTATGATATATTGGGGCAAATTATGAAGAACGATCGATGTGGTGATGAAGGTCGAAGGAGCAAAATGGAGGAGCACATGGGGGGAATTGTTGTCAGTGATGACAAAGAAGCCATTGATGATGAAGAATTTGTTGTGGACAATACACTTCCATAAAGTAGACACCGTGATGGTTCTATATACAGGGACATGGACTGGTGGAAAAGGGATTATCATATTGCGGACTGTAATGAGAGTAAGCTATCAATATCTCTTTCCCTATTTTTATTTTTATATTATTATTACTATTATCATAGAGCGCAGGAAGGCTTAGCCGCATGACAGGGGGGATAGGCATTTAGAAATGAAGTACTATAGTCTAGAAGGCTGGTAAAGGAAAGAATATACCTGGTTTGCTATAGAGGTAGTCTGCCCTTGAGTCCTATTTTAATGATTACTTACCCTATAGGTCTTCAAGCATCTTTGTAGCTTCTCTCTTTGTTGGTTTTGTAGGCTTAATACTGGCTTTTCTGAACTTACATCCCTTCTAGTTGTGGTTTGGTTTGTTACAGTAGCTACAATGCATTAGGACTCCATGTTTGGACATCTTGATTTTCCCTGCACCTCATGAGGTTTCCTTTTCAATGACCTTCTGGGTCCACCTGCCCTTTTGTCATAGAAAGGCGGGTTTCTAGGAGGCCCATTAGTCTTATCACATTCATTGGAATCTCTAATGTGGAACAATCCTATTGCCATATGCTTGCGGGTGATACTAGGAGTCTTATCCCATTGAAAGGATAGAGGTTGCTCTCTTCCCTTACTGTTCTGCTGTGATACTAGAGGGTATTGAGTTGTGAGTTGTGACACCAATGGACTGGAAATCATCCCAGTCAGCTCCTAGCACACTGATCTCATCTAAATAGATAGAACGTATTGTGTATTATATGCTTTGGGACGAAATATGCCATACAATTTGTGCCGATATCCCCTTCAATCCTCATTAGCCCCATGCTCAATGCTTTCATTGGAAGCAACTGATATGCATTTTGAGGCAATTCTTTCTTTTGGGTGTTCCTGAAGAAGAATTTTTCAGGTGGGGAGCACAATTCCTAGTAAAAAGAACATAGGTTGTTTCTACTTTGTACATGAAAGGGAAAATTTTCCAATAAGGCCATATAATCATCAAATAGCTCATGCATATGCTTTTCAAATGCAAGTATTTGTTCACTGCATTAATTTCCAGTTAGAAACCTACATTATTACTTTATTTTTTGTGAAGCTCGGTTGGAGGCAATGATGCATTCAAATCCCACAAATTGTATCATTCGTGATGGAATTTGCATGACACATTCTCCTGGTAGCATGCTGCAACTTTTATCATTAAAGTTGGCTAAACTTCCAGTGGATGGTGGCTTAGTAGAGTTGTACGGATACATAGCAGTGCGAGTTTATCTGGATCCATTGCTTAATTATATCGTCAATTTTAGCAGGGATGATCCCATCGTTGTGGAGCAGGTACACATCCAGACTTATCTACAATTATTTCAAGGAATAAGTCTACCTAACACCCCTTAGTATTGATGTTTGTCCGCTTAGCCCCTTCAAGTATAAAACCACCTTAGGGCAGTTTGGTGGTGGTTTTGTCCACATGGCTTGTTAGGTTGATGCTGCCATGTGGGCAAAACCACCCAAGAGAATCATTGGTAGATCAAGAGAAGAGGGGGGGGGGGGGGGGGCAAATACCCAATGGATGTAAATGTTCTATGAACCCATTTACCAAAATAAAATTATCTCTAGAAGCATAAGACGTTTTGGCCTCTCCATTCCTCGTCTAGATTTACCAACATCCATATGAGTTTGGACACTTGTATGAAGCACATACATTGATTCATGCATAAATCTATTCAAAATGTCGGAAGTATTTCCAAAAAAATGTCTTCTGCTAAATTGATTTTTGGTTGCTGCTTAGTACACTACTCAAATTGATTTTTTTTTTGTTCATAGGCATACGAAGATGCATAGCATTATTGATCCCATCACTAGATAAGTCTTCTCTTTCATTTTATACAGGCTTATGTTTATTTGGGATTTGAAACAAATCAAATGAACAATGGATTCCAAAATCCCCTCGCTGTCACCATTATGCACTTTGTAACCATTTTGTTCGATGCGTGAGATCTTGGTTATCAGTTGTAAAATGGTCCTTTTACGTAAATGTTTTTACAAGTGAAACACCATAAGGGAAGCATCTAGCTTTAGATATTTCTTACTTTTATATGAAAAGCAACTAATACAATAATTTTGTATGGTTCGCTCATCAACATGGCAGGCCCTAAGCGAGGGATAGACATGATGGACTATGCTCTAATTGAATATGACATGAGGATCAAGATAGGCGAACAAGAAAAATGTGACGTACAGCTGATCGATGGTGCATCATTGATAGGCCCTGCAGGCCTATGGAATGACTCATATACATTTCGCATCCCTGGCGATTACGGTGCAGTTGACATAACTTTATCACGTCTTCGTTGGGCAGCTGAGGCAACTGTGGAGGTTGTCATATCAGAAGTGCAAACCAGTTTCGATTTGTTGCTCGGTTGTATAACAAGTGGCTTGGATAAGGAAATCCGGCTATTTGATGGTACCATCACTGAGCCACGTGGGTTAAAGAGGTCGGTGGTTGCTGTAAGGATGAGATCTTTGATAGAGTTAAATTTCAAAGTAGGCGCACTGTCATCCAGTTTGGACCATTGCTGTTCCTTCAAGCCAAAATACCATGGGCATGATACTCGAGAATTAAAGACTGCTTTTGCGTTAATCTCAGTGAAGGTGACTTGGTCGAATTTGTTTTAATGAGTGGGGGGCAGGAGTTAATAAAAATTGGGACAACTGCTTGTTTGACCCTCTTTTGAAGTCCAACTGTCAATTTGTCCCTATTTTTTCAGGTTTGCTTATTCGACCATGCTTTTTAAAATCGTAGTTGCTGTCTGCTGTCTGACCCTGTTTTCTCTCCACCGTTCGGGTTTCATTTAGGAAAAAGAAATGCCTTAATGGGATATGGGCCTAATAGGACGAGCATCTCGTGTCGCTCCGCCGGCCGACGAGTCCACTCTCATCCATGGACAATGGCGAGAGGTACCCCGCTCTTTCCCTCCTCCGCAGTTGCTTCTTCCATCTATTTTTCTGGGCATGGGTTGCACTGGCTGGACATCTACTCATTGGGGATGCACCGCTGGTGTTTGATTAAATGCCTGAATCCACCTCGTTGCTATTTATCAGGGAATGCAAAGTTGACATGTGCATTCTCCACCTCCATGACTGTCGAGTTGAATCGGTGGGCATCAACTGTATTATTGCTGCCAAAACAGAGGAGAGAGAGGTACTACATTTTAATACTCCTTTATCTCTGAATCATATGCTGGAGAGAGAGAGAGAGAGAGCTGGTAATACATTTCACCCATATAGGGGCTCCGTTCTAACTGCTTCCATGAATTTGCAATCTTTGAACTATGTGGTGGAATTCAATTATACATAGATATGATTTTAATGAGGACATTGAACTTGTTTATTAGACAAAATTATTGGTACAACCTACATATTACATTCAGGTGGCAGTGCTGATGCCTTGTACCCACTCACGGCCCATCAGCTCTTTTGCTCTGGCCACAAGAGTGGAAAGTGTTGTGCGATGCTCCATTAGTCCTACGTCACCGGAGAACAACCTGTAGTTTTCTAACCTTGTCGATGTGTTCTCTACCATTGATAGGCATTTGTGGAAATCATTTGCGTAGCGAGAATCGAACTCCATCAAGTTTATGGCGTGTTGAACAATCACCCTCCTGATGCCGGGACAATCAGCACTGGGTCTCATATGTGCATTAAGGGCACTAACAAGCCTCTTTACAAATTTCTTCTTAATCTGACTATGCTCTAATTCTTGGGCAAAGTCATCAGGAATGATTTTACATATATGTGAACTAAAGCCAATAAGGACCTCTAGTTCTGCTCCTTCTGCATCCATTATTCCTTTTAGCACCTGCATTGGAAATAGTTATGCCATTTGAGCTGATAAACCATGATTGCTAAATACATTATTTGACATACTTCAGCTACATTTGCAACTTCAGTTCATGGTCATCCAGGAACCAGGATGCTTCCAACAGTACACTTAGATGTGCAATATTTCTTGTAAGTTGCAGTGTTCAAATTAGTCAATTACATGGCATGAACTAAAATACGCGATTAATATTAAGAGCACCGATGTGTATGCATGTCAGCATTTCTAAACAAAATTTGGTAATTGCAAATCAGATTTCTCTAACAATTTATGGGGAAAAAAGAGTAAAGATTACAAACACGCAAATGTTAAGTTACCATATCCACCTCCAATAGTGCACTTGTAACATGAATTAGCAGTTTTCTCAAAAACAAAACGGAAGGAAGAAAGAAGAATTGGCGGCACTCACCTCTTGCAGGGTGTAAGACAGTTCCTTCAGGTCTGAGTTGCTGAGCTCAGACCAAGCATGCTCACACATACTCCCCAGCAGACTCACTGCTGTATATTTGTACTTGTCATAACGGATCATAGCTGTAAGTTCCTCAATGAACACAAACCCTGGTTCCCTTAACATAAGCAAACAGTTATTGGCACTCTCCATTGCCAGCATTGCAAGTGCTTGACCAGTGATTTTTCGTAGCAAGTGACTAGAAACTTGGCTGAGAAATGCACGCATCAAACCACTGATAATCACTGGGCAATGCCCAATGTCCTCACTAGCATTTCTATCCATGGCAAGGTTTTTAATGATTTCTGCTGCCAGCTCCCTCAGTTCACGGCCACCCACACTATCATTCAAGATCTCTGCAAGATTGTTCAATACGAAGGAATGTTCCAAGATCTGTTGTCGCAGAGTTACACCGAACTTCCCTTTAGTGCTTGCAAGTGTTCTCAGCACCCTCAGTGACAAACCTGCTAGCATGATTTGATGTTCTTCGTTGATACTTGTAATATAATTTCTGTAGCTTGTAAAATCTATCATCTTTGAGATGAGGCCTGTAGCTCTGCTGATTTCCATGCAGTTTCCAGTATCAAAGTTAGCAAGCCTCTCAAGGATTAGCAATCCCTGTACAGGAAGGAAATCTTGGTCCGTGGATGGCTCCTCGTCTGGAATTGACCAGAATTTGGTGATCCGCTTCCAACATCTGGCCATATGTAAGTTCAGTTCATCTATATTAAACGGTTCATCCACAGGAGTCAGACAGTTTATGACCATCTGTTTCCAGTACTTAAGCACTGTGGATTTCTGTTCATCCATGCCAACATGCTTAATTGGTAAGTCTTCTTCTCTTGCCTCTTGGCTATCAATGAACAAAAAATGGTCCCTTATTTTCAGTTGGTGATCGGTGTCCAGTAGTGATGCTACTATCTGTATTGCTCCAGGGATAGCAACGACTCGGAGGCTACCAGCTAGCTCGGCAGTGACCTTCGCGGCAAACAATCTAACATCTGCATCGCCATCACTCGTCCAGCCCAACATATTGAACAACGAGGCCACCGTCTTCGTGGAACTGGTGAGTTTTGGGATCATTTTAGTCCTTAAGTGCTCCTTTTTCAGAAAGCTATGCAGCATCTGAACCCCATAGAGCTTCTTCTTGGTTGAGTCTGAGTTCAGAGAATCCATGGCAAAGGTGATGAGGTTGATCTTCTTTGGAGCAAGTACAGACCCTCCCATGCATTTCTCAAAGGCATATGCGTAGTATAAATTGGCATATTTCACTCCCAGCTGACCTCTGAATCCTCCACGGATGATGAGGGATCTCTTTGGGATGAAGGAAAAGACCTCCAGCATGCAGGCCACAATGTAGAGAATTCCTTGCCCAATCACCATACAGTAGAAGATGTTTAGAGATGGCTTTAGGTTTTGCACGGCATCCTGCTCGGCACTAACACCATCTGCAATATAGTTCTGCGGTACAAGGCGTTGCAGTGCCAGCAGAACGCGCACAACAGCTACTGGAATCTGGAAGTTGCCCAATGACACAACCAGAAAAGCATAGACTTGGAACACCACCATTATAAGTCGACCGTAGAACCCATTGAAAGTGAATACTAGCATCACTATTGCAGCAAACATGCAAAAGTTTAGAATAACCTGACGCCAAGCTAACTGTTTTCTGCTCACAACACTGTCTACTAGTTTTACGATACATGGGAACCGCAGCCTGCTGATTGTCGGTAGGAGGACAAACAAAAATAGCACTATGTACAATGTCCATCTGGTCCTTGAGTGTTTTAAAATTACTTCCTGATTTTCAACATCATAAACTGGTTGTGGTATACATGGACCCAGCAATATGATTGAAAGTAATGGGCTCCACAGTGATATGGCATGGCGTAGCGGATTGCTTAGTAGTTTTAGAGCTCTTGGAGACAGCATTTGTCCAATTGCAACTAGCATTGCCATAACCACAATTAAAGGCACCAATACGCTTCCACCACGAAGGAAATAATAGTTTTTCAGGATCACCAGCACGGTGGAAAAGTATACCATCACAGTCAGCAGACCATTCCAGCCAAGACGCCTAAAAGCTCCTCTAGTGCTGAAAAACAGTTGGTAATCCAGTCTGTTTTCGCGGCTAAACATCCTGATGTATGAGTTGTGCCATTGTCAAATAAAAGAACTTAGCGTATGATAATGTATAAACATAAGAGCATGATGTATATAAATCAGAATGGTTTTCACTATTTTGTCTAAAGGGAAAGTCATAAATTATCTTGGTGTAAGTTGAAAGTGAAAGTTTAACATGTGCAAAGTTCTTTTTTTCCCCTAAAAGGCCTTAGTTGTTGCTCTGACTTTTGAACAATTTGTCAGAATGGCAATGGATGCATATGCATGGTTTGTAGTATCTGTTTAGTAGGGGAAATAAAAGTAAAACATTATAAGAAGTTTCTCTTTTGTCCAAGATTGGTTAGTTTCTCAATTACTGTAGATATATAATATCCACATGATTGTACTCAACTATTTCCTGCTACATATGGCTAAAGATCATGGCCATCTACATGATCTGAGTGTTAGTTATACTTTACTAGCCAGATGCCCAGAAGCAAATCTGATCATATATATTTTGACAATTATCAGAGTCATATATAAACTACCTCTGTTTCTTAAATATCGTTAACTTTTACTATGGTGCTTCATCTTATTAAAAAAATATAAATGTTATGTATTTTGTTATTGTGACTTTTTATCATCAAAGAAACTATAATGACTCGTACTTTTGAATATTTATACTAAATTTTAAAATAAAATAAATTATCAAACATTATGAGAAAAAAATCAACGATATCAAACACTAAGGTGCTGTATATACCGTGCGGCTTCGAGGAAGACGATGACCGTGGCGAACCAGAAATCGTCGTCAGGGCGGAGCACGGTGGGGTAGCCGCCGAGGAGGACGACGGTGGCCCAGGTGAAGGCCAGCGTGCCGAGCGCGTTGCCCACCCTTTCCGTCATCGCAACGACGTGCACGAAGCGATTCAGCCGCTTCTCCGGCGCGGCGGCCGCCTTGTTGTTGCCGCCTTCGCCGCCATGCGATGATTTGACTTGCACTCCGCCGTGCTCCTCCTCGCCGGTGGCCACCTTGGCCTTCGCCATGGCTGCGTACGTACGTTACTACACCCGCGACACCGTACGTCACGGCCCCAGCTGGGGCTAGAAATCCTCGACGATTTAATTTATAACGCAACGCGTGCGTACTTGCGCGATATCGATCGATCATGGTTGCCAAGAAGAAACAAAAGCAACGCGTCCGTACGCCATCTGTATGGGATTCGCCGGCCGGCCGGCAAAGGGAGAGGAAGGGAAGCGCCGGCAAAAATTTAGAAAGACCAATAGGAATATAGGATAGGAGGAGTTCAGTACAAAGATGAACATCATCATTGGTTAATTGTTGCAGAGCAATATTGCCAGAGACATTAGCATGGTCCAAACCATGCACTTCCAGTTCCAACTAAAACGAATGATTAAGACCTGTTTGGTATACCTCCCGGCGCCTGCTTTGAGGATGATGCGGAGCTTTATACTCGTAAAGTCGTAATCTAATTTCTAAGAGCGGAGCATGCAACAGCTCCACTCTACCCTTCACAGTGCACCACCGTGGCGGGTTGCTTCACCCCTACACATAGGTTGTGTGATGTTGTTGAGGAGAGAGGATGTGGGCCCTCGTTCCTTCGCTGAGGCTTTCGTCCCTTAACAAGGATGCAAGGAACTCGCTTGAAAAGGCTGAAACAAACGCTTCAAAAAGCTGAAACAAACACATGTGCAGAGCTCGGATTCTGAAAAAGTTGAAACAAAGCCGGGGGAGGAGGATGCCATGCCGAGCTCGGATTCTTCCGCCGCCGCCAGAGCTCCATGTCCGGCGGCGCCACCCCGCGCCGGGCGAGGTCCGAGCGGCGCCGTCAAGCTCTAGGCCAGATCCACGCCTGGCAAGGTTCGGGCGGCGCCGTCGAGCTCCGGTGGAGGCTAAGGAGGGCGCCGCCGCTGGTGAGGAGGGCGGGGCGAGGACGCGCCGCCGCCGTTTGTTCGCTAGGCCCCGAGGATGCCGCTCGCCCGACGCCAGATCCGTCGTCGAGACACTGCCGGGGGTGGAGGGGCCCGGTGAGCCCTCGCGCCGCCGCAGCCCTCCGCGCCCTCGTCACTGGCCAGAAGTGGAGGGGCCGGTGAGATCTCGCGCCGCCGCCACCGAACTTGTCGCCATCTCCCGCCCCGCGCTCTGCCCCGCTTCTCCAAGTTCGTCGCCGTCCTTCGCCGGAGGAGAGGAGAGCCGTCGCCGGTGGAGGGAGGAGGGGAGCCGGCGCTGGCGGAGAGAGGAGGGGAGAGAGCCGGCGTGACCGGAGAATTTTCAGAATTTGCCATCGAATACGCACGGTTTTCAGGATATACCATCTAATTCGCACTACTTTCAGAATACGCCATTGGGACGTGAATTTTCTTCATTCTACGCCACTCCATCCGCCCCTCGGTCCTCGTCGTCGTCCGTCCGTTTGCCGCCGCCTGCGTCCCCGTCCATCCGCCGGTGCCGCCGCGTTCCTGTCCATCCGCCAGCGCCGCGCACCCACGTCCCCGTCCGTCCGCCGGCACCTCTGACGACAGCTGCATCAGTCCCCGTCCATCCGCCGCCGCAGCGACGGCCTGCTCAACGCGGCCACTGCGAGCGAACACCCGACACGCCGCCTGGACAAAATCGCCCTAGTTGAGGAGCTCGTGGTGGAGGTCGTCGTCGAGTAGGTCGAGGAGGCCGACACAGCCATCACTGGTGGAGAAGTGCTTTTTAGTCCCGGTTCGTAACCCCCCTATAGTCCCGGTTTTCAAACCGGGACTATCAATCCGGGACTAAAGAGAGGGTAGCGGCAGTCCATCAGCTAGTCCTTTTTTCTTTTTTATTTTCTCCCGAATCGAGGGTATGCATATCATCAAATCAAACCCCAAATCCACATCACAACTCCACAGCACGATTCACAGATTCACCACAAATTCATTCACAATATCCATTCACATATTCATTCACAACATCACAAATATATTCACAATATTGATTCAAAGGTTCATTGACAACATCGAGTCACATACTCATTCACAACATCACAGATTCATTCACAATATCGATTCATAGATTCATTCACAGATCAAAACATCCAAACCACAAATTAAAAAAAATAAAAAAAAAATTGACTCACCGGCCGGCCTACCATCCCGCCGCCGGCCGGCCACCCATCTCGCCGCTTCCCCTCCGGCCGGATCTGGGGGAGGGGAGGGCAAGGCCGCCGGCGACCGGCCTCCATCCCGCCGGCCCGCGCCGGGCCGCCGCCGGCCGTCCTCCATCCCGCCGCTTCCCCTCTGGCCGGATCTGGAGGAGGGGAGGGCGAGGCTGCCGGCGACCGGCCTCCATCCCGCCGGCCCACGCTGGGCCGCCGCCGCCCGTCCTCCATCCCGCTGGCCCGCGCCCGGCCGCAATCCTGCCGCCGCCGGCCGGCCGCCTCCAGCCCCAGCCCACGCCTGGCCCGCGCACGGCCGCCTCCATCCCGCCACCGCCGGCCGGCCGCCGCCAGCCCGCGCCCGTCCGCCTCCATCCCGCCACCGCCGGCCGGCCGCCGCCAGCCCGCGCCCGTCCCCCATCCCGCCGCCGTCGGCTGCCTCTGCAAGAGGAAGAGGGGGAGGGGAGGAGGAGAGGGGGTGAGAGAAGAGGAAGGGGAGAGGATGAAGATAAGGAAGGAGAAGAAAAGGAGATAAGGATGGGAGATAGAGAGAGAGAGGGGCTACGCATGCGCTTGTGCGTGGGCTGGTGCGTACGCTTTATTCCCGGTTGATATTATCAACCGGGAGTAAAGATCCCTGGGATCTTTAGTCCCGGTTGGTAACACCAACCGGGACTAAAGATCCTATCTTTAGTCCCGGTTGGTGTTATCAACCGGGACTAAAGATATCGGGGGGCCTGACAAGGCCTGACAGATTTAGAACCGGGACTAAAGATCATTTTTAGTCCCGGTTGGTAACACCAACCGAGACTAAAGATCAAATATTCCCGCTGTAGCCACCAACCGGGACTAAAGATCATCTTTAGTCCCGGTTTTTAGTGGAACCGAGACTATTGTGGATTTCGGGCGACCGACCAAAGATGGTTTCTCCACCAGTGCATCTTCCCCGTGGAGGCGCGATGGTGCTCCTCGGCGAGACGCGCGAGATTCGGTGAAGAGGGGTAGTGGGCAATGGCGGGGCGGGCGGACGGGGACGCGGGCGGCGCCGACGGAAGGATGCGAGCGGCGTCGCCGTACGGGATCAACTTCCCGACTCACATGCCCGCGCTGCCTTACCTGAGCCCCCGAGAACCTGCTTGTCTGCGCCAACTTCGCCTCCGCCGGCGTCAGCATCCTCAATGACACCGGCATCCAATTCGTATGCCCCCGCGCGCATCATCGTCATCATCCCAGTACTGGCTCATCATCTTGAGCGATCACTAAATCATCCTCAACCTGATTACCATTTGGTTGGATGGATCGAACGTACAGGACATGCATCGGATCGATCAATCACGAACCTGTTGGGGCTCAAACAGCTGGCGATGCGTCTTGAGTTGGAAGAAGAGGTAGGCGATGAGCATGACGATGCTGCAGGCACACGACAGGTCGAGGGCGGCGTCGCCGGAGACGATGGCGTGCTCGCCGGAGGTGACGCATACCTGAGCATGAGCGACAGCGAGTGGCAGAGGACGCCGAGCATGACGAGGGCGGTGGCACGTGGGTGGCGCCGGCGGACGGACAAGAACGCGGCGGTGCCGGCGGTTGGACGGGGCGCAGGTGGCGGCAGACGGACGGACGACGAGGAGGACTGACGTCGGCGGACGGAGTGGCGTAGAATGAAGAAAATTCGCGTCCCAATGGCATATTCTGAAAGTAGTGCGAATTAGATGGCATATCCTGAAAACCGTGCGTATTCGATGGCAAATTCTGAAAATTCTCGCGTGACCGTGAGGGAGGAGAAGTTGAGGGATTTGGGTAAAGTAGTATGGGTGGAGATTTATATTCTTCTCTCAATTTTAGGGTGGTTACTGTAAAATTTGGACTTCTTTGTAAATTGATAAACACATGAGGGCTGAAATGGAAATTTACAGGGGCTGAAACGAAAAAGTAAGTCACTAATGAGGCTATTTGCACTATGGGAATAAAAAACTTGGATCCGGGTCTTCATCCTATGTGGAATGAGATGAGGGAACGCTGCACTGTGAGAGGCCTAAGGATTGGAGGCGCTTCGATACGAAATACATGACTCTCACTACTCATTAGTTACTACTCCTCACTCCGTCCCATAATATAAGGTATTTTGACTTTTTGCTTGCACTGTTTGACCATTCGTCTGATTAAAAAAAATTAGAATTATTATTTATTTTATTTGTGACTTACTTTATTATCCAATGTACTTTAAGCACAACTTTTGGTTTTTTATATTTACATAGATTTTTGAATAAGACAAGTGATAAATAGTAAAAGAACACACTAGGCTTGTAGAGCGTGAGATGGGCTGTCACAGTATATAGGCCCAATGGGCCGTGCGCGCGTGTCCCCTTCCCCTTGGTCCATCGAGCTCGGCTGGTCGGGTAGGGCGCGCACCGGCGACGACAAGCTCGCGCCACGACGCCGCGCCGCCGGCTAGTTCCACTCCCATTCATGGCCGCCCGACAGTGAAAGGTATCCCACTCTTTCGCTCTGGCTGCTTCCTCCGTTCTCTTCTTTTTTCTGGGCGTTGTGCAGCATGCTCTCGACGAAGATCTACATACTCGCTAGGGCTGCACATCAGATGTTCGGTTAAATGCCTGAACCCCACATTGTTGCTATCTGTCACCAGGGAATGCAATGTCAACATGTACCTGCAAAAATGCTTCACCTTTATGGCTTTCAAGCAGAATGGATGGGCATCAACAACTGTGTTATCAATGCCAAAAAACAGAGGAGAAAAGGTACGTTCTAAAACTCCTTTGTCCAATCACCAAAAAGATAGAGGCATAGAGCTGCTACAGTTCGGTCCTCGAGGGGCTCAGTTCAACTTGCTTTTCTTACAATCTTCGTACTGTATACATTGTGGGAGTTTAATTGTATCATACATATGGTTTTCTTGAGGAAATTGAGCATGTTTATTGAAAGTATTAAGACTCTTAGTCCAGCTACATTACATATATCTCAGTTGACACTGCTGCTGATGCCCCTTACCCATTCACGACCCATCAGCTCTTTTGCTCTGGCCACAAGAGCGGAAAGTGGTGTGTTGTGCTCCATGAGTCCTGTGTCTCCTGAAAACAACTTGTAGTTTTCAGATCTCGAGGGCGTACGTTCTACCATTGATAGTGTTTCCACCATCCAGCATTTGTGGAAATCATTTGCATAGCGAGAATTGAACTCCATCAAGTATATGGCATGCTGAACAATTACCCTCCTGATGCCAGGACAATGGGCACTGGGTCTCATATGTGCATTAAGCACATCGACAAGCCTCTTTACGAATTTTTCCTTAATTTGACCATGCTCTACTTCTCGGGCAAAGTCTTCAGGAATGACTTTACATATTTGTGAACTAAGGCCAATAAAGACCTCTAGTTCTGCCCCTTCTGCATCCATTGTTCGTTCCAGCACCTGTTTAGCGACACCATGTTTAGTGGAAATAGCGACGCCATGTGAGCCAACAAAATCATGATTAGTAAAAACATTATTCAACAAACTTCAGCTACATTATCACCTATTTAGTTTGGTCACCCAGGACGTTTCCGACAGTATACTTAGTTTTCCAATGTACAATAGTTTTTGCATGTTGTTGGGTTCAAATAATCAATATCATGACATGAGCTTACAATGCTATCAATATTAAGAGCACATATGTGTATGCTTTGAGAAACAATGTGCAAACTGCAGGTCGGTTCTCCCTAACAATTTATGAAAAAGTACAGATAGCAAGTACATGAAAATAGTAGTTATAGTATGCACCCCCAGTATTGCACTTGATACTTCAATTAGTAGTTTTTGTCTCTAGTCTATCAAAAAAAGACAGAAGAATTTGCAGCTCACCTCTCGTAAGATGTAAGACAGTTCCTTCAGGTCTGAGTTGCTGAGCTCAGGCTGAGCATGCTCGCACATATTCCACAGCAGGCTTGCTGCTGTACATTTGTACCTGTTATCATGGATCATAGTTGTAAGTTCTCTAATGAACACATACCCTGGTTCCATTAACATAACCAAACAGTTATCTGTACTCTCCATTGCCAGAATTGCCAGTGCTTGACCAGCATTTTTCCGTAGCAAGTGATTACAGTTTCTACTTGAGGATGGATCTTGGCTGAGAAATTCACGCATCAAACTACTGATGATCACTCGGATGTGCCCGATGTCCTCACTAGTGTTTCTATCCATGGCAAGGTTCTTCAGGATTTCTGCTGCCAACTGCTTCAAATCATGGCTGCTCCCATTGTCATCCATGATCTCTGCAAGATTGCTCAATATGAAGGTATGTTCCAAAATCTGTTGCCGCAGAGTTACACCTAACTTCCCTTCAGCACTTGCAAGTCTTCTCAGCACCCTAAGTGACAAACTTGCCAGCATTATTTGGTGGGCTTCACTAGTACTTGTCATATGATTTCTGTAGCTTATAAAATCTATCATCTTTGAGATGAGGCCTGTTGTTCTGCTGATTTCCATGCAGTTTCCAGGATCAAAGTTAGCAAGCCTCTGAAGAATTAGCAGTCCTTGTATGGGGAGGAAATCTTGGTCCGTGGATGGCTCCTCCTCTGGAACTGACCAGCGTTTTGTGATCTGCTTCCACCATCTGAGCAAACGTGAGTTCCGTTGATGCGTGTTAGATGGCTCATCCACCGGAATAAAAAAATATATTGCCATCTGTTTCAAGTACTTAAGCACAGGGGAGTTCTGTTCAGCCATGCCAACTTGCTGAATTGGTGAGTCTTCTCTTCCCACTTGGCTATCAATTAACAGAAAATGATCCCTTATTCTCTGTTGGTGATCAGTGTCCAGAAGTGAGGCTACAAGCTGTGTTGCCCCAGGGATTTGAACAACTCGGAGGCTACCAGCAAGCTCGGCAGTGACCTTTGCGGCGAAGAATCTGATTTCTTCATCCCCGTCACTTGTCCAGCCCAGCATATCGAACAACAAAGCTACCGTCTTCTTGGCATTTGTGAGTTTTGTGATTGTTTTAGTCCTTAGCTGCTCCTTTTTGAGAAATCTGTGCAGCATCTGAACCCCATAGAGCTTATTCCTGGATGAGTCTGAGTTGAGGGAATCCATGGCAAATGTGATGAGGCTGATCTTCTTTGGAGCAAGCACAGCCCCTCCCATGCATTTCTCAAAGGCATATGCATAGTACAAATTGACATATTCCACTCCCATCTGACCTCCAAATCCGCTACGGCGGATGAGGTATCTCCGAGGGATGAATGAAAATACCTCCAGTAAGCAGGCCACAATGTAGAGAATCCCTTGTGCAAGCACCATCCCGTAGAAGATGTTTAGTGACGGCTCGAGGTTTTTCTCGCTATCATGCTCACCATTCTTGTCATCTACCAAGTATTTATGCGGTTTCTGCGGTACAAGGCGTAGCAGTGCGAGGACGACACGCACAACAGCTGCTGGAATCTGGAAGTTGCCAAATGACACCACCACTAGAGCACAAAGCTGGTACACGATCATCGCATATGGACCGAGCTCACTGAAAATGAATACCAGCATCACAATCGCAGCAAGCATGCACAAGTTTAGAATGATTTGACGCCAAACTGACTGTTTGGTGTTGGGAAAACTGTCTGCTAGTTTTCTGATGCATGGGAGCCGCAGCCTGCTGATTGTCGCTAAGAGGACAAACAAAGATAGTACTAGGTACATTATCCATTGGGTCTCTGAGTTTGTCGAAATGAATGGTCCGGGATAGAAGTCGTAGCTTGGCACAGTAATGCACGGACCGATCAATAGGATCGCAAGTAATGGGCTCCACAGCGATATAGCATGTCGTAGCGGATCGCAAAGTAGTTTTAGAGCTGCTGGAGACAGCAACTGACCCAATGCAAGTAGCATCGCCATATCCACAAGTAAAGCCACCAATACATTACCACCAATGGAAGCGAGAGAGCGTGACAGGATCACCAGCACAACGGAAAAATATACCGCCACAGTCAGCAACCCGCTCCAGCCAAGAAGTCTAAAAGCTCCTCTAGTACTGAAAAATAACTGGTAATCTAGCCTGTTATCGCGGCTAAACATCCTGCAGTGTAAGTAAAAAGGATAGTGTATGATAACCCGTAAACCAAATATTTTTCTCCACATAGATGCAAATTGGAAGCATATATTAACTCTGGTGTAAAGTGAAAATATTGAATCCCACATCACTACATGGATGACCAAGCTCAGCTAATTTGTGCTATAACATTGTATTTCTCCAATTTGTACTCTCCTTTCTTTCTTCCTCCCCAGACCCCAGTTCCTTCTTTCTTTTTTGCACTCTCTCTTTTTCTTTTTGCTGGAATTCCTTTTTCTCTCTTCATTTCAATTCGCTGTATTTTTAACCCTCCATTAATATAATGGCAATAAGGTAGAGTTTCTTTACCTTTTTGCGTCAAAAAAAATTGAATCGTCTTCGTGCAAAGTAAAAAACTATGATGTGTGAACAAGACCTTATCATTGCTATCTATCCTACCAAACTTTCATAGCTTTGGAGGTTTCCTCTCAATAAAACACGACCAAAATTTGGGAAGACTTCAATGTAAACACTAACTCACAATACTTATCAAACTTTGGTATATATTCCTGCTGAAAAAACGACTGAAGAAAACTGATCATAACTCATAATAGGTACCTGGCAGCTTCGAGGAAGACCATGGTGGTGGCGAACCAGAAATCATCCTCAGGACGGAGCACGGTTGGGTAGCCTCCTAGCAGGACAACGGTTGCCCAGGTGAAGGCCAGCGTCCCCAGGGCGTTGCCCATCCTCTCGATCACTGCAAGGATGTGAACGAAGCAGTTCAGCTGCTTTTCCGGCGCAGCTAGCTGCTTCTGCCGCCGGCCGCCGCCGCCTTGAGCCGGCATTTGGACGCGGTGCTCTCCGCCGGTGATGTCCGCCGCCACCGCCATTGATTGATTTGATCGAATTCTGGATACCTTGGCACACACACATGACCCAACTCAAGCGGGAGAATCAACTAATGTACTTATATCACCAGGCCGCATGTACTTGTCAGAAATTAATACTTCCTGTTATCTGGACAAGCATCCGATTATACTCCCTCTGTCCCATTTTAAGTGTAACCATAAGTTTCCACACTTAACTTTGATCGTCCGTCTTATTTAATTTTTTATAATTAGTTTTTTTTCTGATATGATAAAATATGAATTGTATTTTACTCGTGACTTATGTTTTTAATTTTTTTAAAAAAAATTTCAAATAAAACGGACGATTAAAGTTGAGCGCGAAAAACCATAGCTGCACTTAAAATGGGACGGAGGGAGCACTTTTTAAGACTTCAGCTTTCTTATGTCTGTCAGTAATTAAGCTCGAAAGTATGGTTTCATGCTCCTCTTTTTCTTTGTTTTTGTGTGTGTGTCCGCGTCTTAATTTAATCCAAAAGTGCAAACTTTGCCAAAGTTATGGCATGATCACGCCGGAGTTTTGGATGATAATATATTAATAAGGTATCCAATGCTGAAAGCAAAAAGGGAGTAAGAAGGCATTGGATCTGTTCCAGTGAGTTAGTGACAGAGAGAACACGCACATTTTTTATCTTAAGCACTAAAGGTGACTAAGTGAGGACTGAGGAGGGTATACCTAATTTTGATTCATCAAATGTTTTTCTAGCACAAATGACAGTGTGACTCACACTTACACTGCTACCTTTTTAATATCAAGTTTCAAAGGCTGGGATATGCTAACTTTATAATAAAGCCCAAACATACCAGGTTCAAAAAAAATGAAATAATGATATGCAATTTTCTATGTGTTCGAGAAAAAAAAAAGAGAAATATTATTACTGTTGAGTAGTTTTTTTTTTAAAAAGGCCAATCAGACTTAACTGACATTATATTAATAGAGGGTGTGTTTAGTTCCTGAAAAAAGTTGAAAGTTTGAAGACAGTTAAGAGTTTGGAAAAAAAGTTAGAAGTTTATGTATGTAGGAAAGTTTTTGATATGATATGATGTGATGAAAAGCTAAGAATAGGGGGGAAACTAAACACGGCCAGAAGGGAGTTTAAGTACATTAGCCAAAAGCTAAAAAGGAGAAAGTATATACACTTCTGACAACAAATAGGCTTGCACCTCAGTCCTTTCTCATGGCAATAATCTCGCAACAGCCCAACTTATCTTGTATGCGATTGACTATCTGGTACTGTTGCTTCTTGAGATTGTTGGATTGTTACTTCCTAGTACGACGTATCGAATTCTTACTTACAAAGACACATGCCTAGACCACATCACGAGACAATAACAAAGTGAACAACGTATACTAAATTTCAGAATATAGTGCGTATGTTTTAACCAAAATTTTCAGAATATCTTAAGACCATAATACTACAAATACTCCATCGTTGTTCGTAATGTCGACCGTTGCCGGCCCACATAACAGGGACTCTATATCTTCTTCTTCTAGCCTCCTCTCTTCTCTATCTCTCCACCTATCCCCTCTCTTCCTCGTGATCTCTAGGCCAACGCTCAAGAAGAGGGGCAGCGATTAGCGAGAGAGGAACAAGGCGACACCGGCAGGAAATAAGTAAGGTGACAATGACATCTCATGTCTACGGGCGTGGAAGAAGGAGGATCGAGACACAGATCATACGCGTGGCGTGCTTGGACTAGTCTCCTGCTTCACCACCGCGCTCCTCCACAGCATCCTCTGCCCTTCCCATGGCTGTTGATGGCCTCATTGCAGTCGGATCTAGGGTCATGCCGGCCACTTTGCCCATGGGCGGTGCGTCCTGCTTTGGCTGGTTGGTAAGGGGAAGGGTAGGGTAGATCCAGCAAAGAGGCGGAGGAGAGGAGGTGGCGGCGCAGACCTGGAGCGTGTGACGAGGACGAGGAGGCACCAAATCATCTCACAATCTGATTCGCCACGCTAGATCCAACCATCTCATGGCCGTTGAAACCTCCTCCACCACCCCTAACCTTCCCACAGTCTGATTCGCCATACGCGACCTCTTTGTTGCCGGATGCACTGTACCCGCTCTCCCCATGGCTGGATTACGCACGTGGTTTGCTTGGACTTGCTCGACCGGCAACTGGCGGCTCAGTGGCATTCTCCTTCGGCTCTAGCGGCGCGCTTCCGATGGAGCACATTTCACCAGCACACGCTTGCCCTAGAGCTTCTTGTGGGTGGTGCAGGAGAGAGAGATTGGGGAGGAGAGTGGTGGAGGAGGAAGAAAAGAAAAATGTGGCCCCCACATATACTCCCTCTATTTCAAAATATTTGACACCGTTGACTTTTTAGTACGTGTTTGACCATTCATCTTATTCAAAAAATTTAAGTAATTATTTATTCTTTTCATATCATTTGATTCATTGTTAAATATACTTTCATGTACACATATAGTTTTACATATTTCATAATTTTTTTTGAATAAGACGAACAGTCAAACATGTGTTAAAAAGTCAACGGTGTCAAACATTTTAAAACGGAGGGAGTATTTTTTTAATTTCTTTGGTGACTAGACTGCTACATCAACCACAATCAACCTAAACAAAGGTCGAGGGAGTCATTTTGCACTAGATATACCCAGTTTTACAGGCGAGGGATGCGATTCGAAAAAGAGCGAAGACAAGGGAAGTAAAATACACTTATTCCTATATCAGGAGATCACACTGGACTTGTAGAGCCCGAGATGGGGTGGGGTGGGGGAGAAAGAGAGAGAAGCCTAGCTAGAGCGAGAGGGCCGGAACCCGGCCGGCAGCAACGGCCCACGGCGCGCACCGGCGGCGAGAAGCTCGCGAGCGCCACGACGCCGACCGACGCCGACGAGCCCGCTCCCATCCATGGCCGTCCGACAGTGAAAGGTACGCCGCTCCGGCCTTCCCTCCTCCCGCATGTTGCTTCCTCCCATCTCTTGTCGATCTTCTGGACGTGAGCAGTGGGCTGCATGCGCTCGACGGAGATCTACCCGCCGGAGCTGCACATCAGCTGTTTGGTTAAATGCCTAGCCCACAGTGTTGCAATCTATCGTCAGGAAATGCAATGCTAACACGTAGTTAGAAAATGCTTCACCTTCATGGCTGTTAAGTTGAATGGATAGGCATCATCAACTGTACTATTGCTGCCAATACAAGCCAAAGGTACGTTTTGAACTCCTTGGTCACTCTATCACCCTAGAGATAGAGCTGCTACATTTGGGCTCTCGAGAGGCTCAGTTATGCATGCTTCTGTTACAATATTCGAACTGTGTACATTGTGATAGTTTAACTGTATTACACATATCATTCTCGTGAGGAAATCGAGCCTGTTCATTGACGGTCAGACTTTTATTCCCTTAGTACAACCAACATATTTGTTAGGTGACACTGCTGATGCCCCGTACCCATTCACGACCCATCAGCTCTTTTGCTCTGGCCACAAGAGCAGTAAGTGGTGTGTTGTGCTCCATGAGTCCTGTGTCGCCTGAAAGCAACCTGTAGTTTTCAGCCCTCGAGGGTGTACGTTCCACCATTGATAGTGCTTCCACCATCCAGCACTTGTGGAAATCATTTGCATAGCGAGAATTGAATTCCATCAAGTATATGGCATGCTGAACAATCACCCTCCTGATTCTGGGACAATGAACACTGGGTTTCATATGTGCATTAAGCACTTCGACAAGCCTCTTTATGAATTTTTCCTTAATTTGACCATGCTCTACTTCTCGGGCAAAGTCTTCAGGAATGACTTGACATATTTGTGAACTAAGGCCAATAAGGACCTCTAGTTCTGCCCCTTCTGCATCCATTATTCCTTCCAGCACCTGTATAGTGCATATAGCGACAACATGTCAGCCAACAAAACCATGATTAGTTAAAACATTATTCAACAAAATTCAGCTACATCATCTCCTATTTAGTTTGGTTGCCAGGGATGTTTCCGATAGTATACTTAGTTGTCCAATGTACAATAGTTTTTGCACATTGCTGGGTTCAAATTAGTCAATTTCACGACATGAGCTTACAATGCTATCAATATTAAGAGCACAGATGTGTATGCTTGTCAATATTTGAAAAACAATGTGGAAACTGCAGGTCGGTTCTCCCTAACAATTTATGAAAAGTATAGATAGCAAGTACATGAAAATAGTAATTACACTACCCACCTCCAGTAGTCCAGTATTGCAATTGACACTTAAATTAGCAGTTTTTCTATCTCTAGTCTATCAAAAAAAGACAGAAGAATTTGTAGCTCACCTCTCGTAAGATGTAAGACAATTCCTTAAGGTCTGAGTTGCTGAGCTCAGATTGAGCATGCTCGCACATATTCCACAACAGGCTTGCTGCTATACATTTGAACCTGTCATCCTGCATCATAGTTGTAAGTTGTCTAATGAACACATACCCTTGTTCCATTAACATTACCAAACAGTTATCTCTACTTTCCATTGCCAGCATTGCCAGTGCTTGACCGGCATTTTTCCATAGCAAGTGATTAGAATTTGTACTTGAGGATGGATCTTGGCTGAGAAATGCACGCATCAAACTGCTGATGATCACTCGGATGTGCCCAATGTCTGCACTAGTGTTTCTATCCATGGCAAGGTTTTTCAGGATTTCTGCTGCCAGCTGCTTCAGTTCATGGCTGTTCCCATTGTCATCCATGATCTCTGCAAGGTTGCTCAATATGAAGGTATGTTCCAAAATCTGTTGTCGCAGAGTTACACCTAACTTCCCTTCAGTACTTGCAAGTCTTCTCAGGACCCTAAGTGACAAACTTGCGAGCATTATTTGGTGGGCTTCATTAGTACTTATCATATGATTTCTGTAGCTTGTAAAATCTATCATCTTTGAGATGAGGCCTGTTCTGCTGATTTCCATGCAGTTTCCAAGATCAAAGTTAGCAAGCCTCTCAAGAATAATCAGTCCTTGTACTGGGAGGAAATCTTGGTCCGTGGATGGCTCCTCCTCTGGAACTGACCAGCATTTTGTGATCTGCTTCCAGCATCTGACCATACAAGAGTTTTGTTCATCCACGTTAGATGGCTCGTCCACCGGTATCAAACAATATATTACCATCTGTTTCAAGTACTTAAGTACTGGGGAGTTCTGTTGGCCCATGCCATCTTGCTGAATTGGTGAGTCTTCTCTTCCCACTTGGCTATCAATGAACAGAAAATGATCCCTTGTTGTCTGTTGGTGATCAGTGTCCAGAAGTGAGGCTACAAGCTGCGTTGTCCCAGGGATTTGAACAACTCGGAGGCTACCAGCAAGCTCGGCAGTGACCTTTGCAGCGAATAATCTGATTTCTGAATCCCTATCGCTTGTCCAGTCCAGCATATCGAACAATGAGGCTACTGTCTTGGTGTCATTGGTGAGTTTTGTAATTGTTTTGGTCCTTAACTGCTCCATTTTGAGTAATTTATGCAGCATCTGAACCCCATAGAGCTTCTTCCTGGATGAGTCTGAGTTGAGGGAATCCATGGCAAATGTGATAAGGCTGATCTTCTTTGGAGCAAGCACAGCCCCTTCCATGCATTTCTCAAAGGCATATGCATAGTACAAATTGACATTTTCCACTCCCATCTGGCCTCCCAATCCGCCATGGCGGATGAGGTATTTCCGAGGGATGAATGAAAATACCTCCAGCAAGCAGGCCACAATGTAAAGTATCCCTTGCCCCAGCACCATCCCATAGAATATGATTAGAGATGCCTTGAGGTTTTTGCTGTCATTATCATCTTTTTTCTCGCAATCCGGCTTGACTTCCTTTTTTGGTTCGTCCTTTTGATGTAGAATACCTGCCAATGCGAGGACGACACGCACAGTTGCTGCTGGAATCTGGAAGTTGCCAAATGACAGCAACAGTAAAACAGAAACGTCGTATACGATTGAAAGTGGTAGCTCGTCACTGAAAGTGAATACCAGCATCACTATCGCTGCAAGCATACACATGTTTAGAATAACTTGACGCCAAGGTAACAGTTTTCTGCCTAGAACATTGCCAACTAGTTTTACTATACACGGGAACCGGAGCCTGCTGATTGTTGGTAAGAGGACAAAGAAACATAGTACTAGGTACAAGTACAATAATGTCCGGCTGGTCTTTGTGTTTTTGGAACCACGATCTCGTTGTACTCGTATACACACACCCAGCAATAGGATTGCAAATAATGGGCTCCAGAGCGAAATGGCACGGCGAAGCGGATTGCATAGTAGTTTCAGAGCTGTTGGAGACAACATCATGCCAGTTGCAACTAACTGTGCCATACCGACAATGACTACAGGTAAAGGCACCGAGAAAGAATCATCACCACGTTTTGATGAAAGCATCAGCATGGCGGAAAAGTATACTATCACAATCAGCAGACCGTTCCAACCAAGAAGTCTAAAAGCCCCTCTGCTACGAAAAAACAGCTGGTAATCAAGCCTGTTATCGCGGGTAAACATCCTGAAATATGTGCAGTACCATTGTTAATTAAAAAGGGAAGGCGTATAATGATCCGTAAAAATATAAGACGGATGTATATACGTGGTCATACTAGTAGTATTCTACTATTGTAGATGTGTAAAGTGCATTTTAGCTATCAGAAAGATATAGCTATCAATTAGGTGGACCATATTATCTTAACTATATATCATCTTAAGAAGGAATAAATTCATCTGAGGTCCCTTAACTTGTCAACGAATCCGATTTTCGTCCCTCAACCGAAAAACCAGACACAACGGGGTCCCTCAACTATCAAAACTGATGCAGATTAAGTCTCTCGGCGGTTTTGAGGGCGGTTTTGGCTGACGTAGCGCCTACGCGGCTAATTTGACTCGGTCATCATCTGACGTGGTATTGACGTGGCGCTTACGTGGCAATTCGACCCAGAAAAATAATAAAATCTGGATCGAATTGCCACGTAGGCGCCACATCAATGCCACGTCGTATGAAGACCGAGTCAAATTAGCCACCTAGGCGCCACGTCAGCCAAAACCACCCTCAAAACCGCCAAGGGACCTAATCTGCACCGGTTTTGATAATTGAGTGACCCGTTGTATCTGGTTTTCCGGTTGAGAGATGAAAATCGGATTCGTTGACAAGTTAAGGGACCTCGATGAACTTATTCCTCTTAAGAATCCATGCCAAACAAATTGGGCCACAAGAAACATTATAGACAAAACTATCCATCTAAGCCAAATATAATTATGAGAGAATCTATTCTATACCACTAAGTTTGTTCGAGTTTAACAATTTGCCATCAATATTATCTATTTCTATAATATATCGGCGACTTTATCTATTATTCTACAATTTACCATTCGGCTGGACCTTCTTTTAGAAAATACCCAAAATAACCTTAGAGACATACAAGATTAACAATTGATTTACATTAGAAGTTTCAAAAAAACATATAAAAATTTTTATGTGACCTCCTTACACAACATGAAAGTTTGTATACAAGTTTCAAGTTTTTCTGGTATATTCTTTTTTCGAAAAAATATCTTTTATGTGGTATATGAGAGAGAATTTGCTTATACAAGAGATAATAGCAAAAAATATCTTATATAGTGTATGCAAGATGATTTATATTAAAAACCAGCAATTCAAAAATCCATCTTACTCCCCCAAACTAATTCAATGGATCGCTTAAACACACACCCCCTAACTTTTTTTTGGGCTCATTTTACCCTCTACTCTATTAAAAATAGTTCACTTTACTTCCTAATAATATTTCTCTTTTCTTACTCTTTATACGAGTTGTATTTTAAGCTGAAATTTGTTAGAGCCATAGATGACACCATTACCAAAATTCAAAAATATTTTGAAATTTTTTTCATGGAGTTTGCTTGTACTTCAAAATTTTGATGTTTAAATCAGTTTGAAGTGCTTTCAACCTATGTAAACAGTGAGAAAAAAAATAAAAATAGAATGTTGGGACATAAGTTATGGATGCATCTATATTCTACTAAATTTTTAGTGCAAAATATGACTTATAAAGAAGAGAAATAGCATTAGACGAGTACAGTGAAATGTTTTCAATAGTTCGAGGTATAAAATGAGCTAAAACTAGTTTAGGGGGTCAAATGCTCTAGTAAAATAGTTCGGGGAAGTAAAATAAACATTTTTCATAGAATTAAGACTCTAGACCAAATACAACTTATTATTTATTAATTTCATTTAAGAATTACTAAATCATGAAGCATATGGAATTGACTCAAAGGCGCATACAACTATAGGCATACTAATTATGAATATCAGGGGTACGATGTGCGTGTGTGCGTGATTACGTTTGTATTGTTTTCTAAAAATAATATTAAATTAAAAATGTAGATAGCAACGAAAAATAATATTTAGAATGGATTCTATATATACACGGGTTACCAAGTGGTGTACTAATTCGTATCCATGGGTGGAACCATGAGTAGGACAACCAGCAGCTACTCCTGACCTTAAATCCCTCTTAAAATAACATTTCGTTTTTTTTAAAAAAAAAACATATAAAAATTATATTGATTGAGACTTAGGGTTGAGAAAATTTTGGCTCCGATCCGCCACTATTCGTACCTGGTGGCTTCGAGGAATACGATGACTGTGATGAACCGATAGTCCTTCTTCGAGTCGAGCACGGTGGGGTAGCCGCCGAGGAGGATGACGGTAGCCCAGGTGAAGGCCAGCGTGCCGAGCGCGTTGCCCGTCCTCTCTATCAGCGCCACCACGCGAACGAAGCGATTCAGCCATTTTTCTGGGGTGGCCATCTTGCCTGCAGCTTCGACCTGCTCACCTCGTATCTGGACGCTGTGCTTCCCGCCGGTGGCGTTCGCCATGGCTAACTGGCTTCTACGACGACGACCGTCTCGCACGTACGGCTTTGGTACAACAAATCGTAGAATCCTCGGCAGTTTTTAGTTTTTACAACGCAACAGCGCGTCCCTCAGAATATGTATTACGGCACAGTGGTTGTTATATTGGAGAGAAAGGTATAAACAGTTCAAGGTGGCATGTTTTGGCCACGTCGTCTACATATATTATATTAACAGATCAAAACTTGTGTACATGATCTTTACTCTGTAGACTGTTGAGCATATTCACGGCTCACTTTATTGTGCTCAGTGCCTTGGTATGTGAGTTAAACAATCGATGAATCAGCTGTAGCACACCGCATAATCCCCAATTCCGAAGACCTTTGCTTAGTCAGTTGATGCTTCGTGAAGGACTTGTTGATGACTGCCTTTTAGACGAAGACGACCGTCTCACACGTACGCCTGCTTGGTACAACAAATCGTAGTTTTTACAACGCGATGCGTGCCTCACAATATGTATTATATATGGTACTCCACTAGAAAGGTATAACTGTATTATTGTAAACCGGACATGTCAAAGCTTGCGTCCATGGTCTGTACTCTATAGAGTGTTGAGCATATTCATGGCTCACTGTATTGTGCTCAGTGCGGCCTAGGGGATGCGTTAAACAATCGATGAATCAGCTGTACCACACCGCATAATCCCAATTGCGAAGACCTTAATAACTAGTCAATTGATGCTTTGGATCGGTACTGATTTGATTTGTGACTAATTCTAACACTTTGATGACTAATGCATACTTTGCAGAATGCGTAAGAATAACAAGTGCCATCGCAAACACAAAATCGTCGAAGGTGACACTTGTCGGGATACCCTCCGAGGAGGATGACAGTGGCCCAAATGAACGCCAGCGTGCCGAGGGCGTTGCCCCGCCCTTTCAACCGAGAATGGGGATGCTGGTCGTCTGCAATACTGCTCACTAACATGTGGGCCCCACAGCCCCTCAGGACCACATGTCAGTGAGCAGTACTGCACTGCACGGGATCTCAATTACTCAAACAGATATATTTAGCTGCTTTTCGTGGGATAATGCAAACCACGTAGTGTAAACTACAGCAGCAAACTGCCGTAGATCTGAAAATAGACATCTAAAATTTATCCAGGCTAAGTGAAATATACTCTCAATAAAAACTTTTACTCTGATAAAATCTGAAAGTAAAAGTTTTACTGGAGACGTTGTGGACGAATTTTAGACATCCATTTTTCGATCATTCCACAGTTTCCATTTCCAAGCTTACACTGGCCTTGTTCGAGAACCCAACAGAGGAAGATAAAATTTTGGATTTTCGTGGTACGCTTTTCAAACTGCTAAACGGTGTGTTTCGCGCGAAAATTTTCTATATGAAAGTTGCTCTAAAATATTAGATTAATCCATTTTTCAAGTTTGTAATAATTAAAACTCAATTAATCACAAGTTATTACCACCTTGTTTTATGTAAAACACTTAATCTCATCTTTATCTTTAAACATAGAGTGCAAAGAGGATTGAGGAACTACATATTTTTCTCCTTTTTCTGGTTCCGTATTACGCCGCTGAATCCACAACTCGCCTCAGGTTGAGCAACTGTAGCCTCGGGACGCAACTAAACATCGAACGTCCGAGACGTCCCCCCTAACCACGTACATACAACTCTTTTCATACTTCATCGTCTTTGCACCGTACTAGGGGTGGCGCGCGCCGTTGCCGCGCTGCCGGCAACAAGACAGGTAAAAAAACAGAGGTTACATGAAAGTTAGATATGTATAGAAAACAAGCATGCGAGAAATAAATTAAACAAAGGCAGGTAGTCATACATACATAAAATAAAAAAGAACACATTTTATTACAAATAAACCCTACGACCTCAGCAATAAATACTATATTTTGTGGTATAAATTTGGTTCTAGTCTGGATATAATAGTCATGGATTTGACTAAACATCTTGCAGAATATCACCAAAAAGATTATATTGACCAATGGAACAGAACTTGTCGCTTGCAGTTTTCAGTAAAGAAAATCTACAATTCTGAGCAGAAAACCCAAGGAAATTTAACACTTGAACCACATCAATGAAAAACTGATATAGAAACTTTGAAACCCACCTATGCAAGACCACCACGCCACCTTTTTTATAACTCTGCATGATCAAACTGTGGACAAATGCAATGCAGTATATTATAAACTGTCACATACAAGATAAATATGGTGCTGCATGGAATTAATCAATTACCATTAGGCTGGCCAGTAGCATCTAGCAAACAGAGGAACACATCTCTCTTATTTTCAGAGGAGTGTTGTTATTGCTATCAGTTAGTAAAACTCTGTCTAACAGCCCATATTTAGAGGGAAAAAAAGAAAGTGAAAAAGTCTTCTAGCTCTAGCCTTTCCTCTCTGACCAACTATTGTACATAGTGCATAAAAGGAGAAATCCAATAAAATATAATACATGTGCAACCCAACATCAGGATGGCCTCAATTCATTCATTGTGCCTTGTTTATATCATCTAACTCATCATATCCCTCAATTATTAACATCCATCATTGCAAAAAATACACCCATGTAAAAAAATTTACTGCACTCCTAGCACTGCAATCAACATACATGTGTACTGCATTTTGTTCTATAAATGGTGCTTCTTGTTGTAGAAATTGTTGTAGCATGTCCACTTTGTCAGTTGTGTGCTTCAAAATCTTTGGTGTTGACATTTTCAGAAAATAAACATGAAGCACCATGGCCATGTGTAGATATAAGCAAAATAAGGGCAACAAATGATTAAAGATAGTTGTGGTTTGTAGAGTATAAAGGATTTAAGGTGGGGATTTCTACCAGATCATTTGAAGTGTGCATCTCGATTTCCTGAGTTTGTTGCCTGGTTAAAACAACAACAATTAGGCATGACATTCATGACTTGTTCCACTTTGTTTATTATATACTTTAAGCCCACCTGTAAGATCTGCAACAAATGAAAGCAGTCACTATACAACAATAATTAAATTCTGTAGAACAGAGATAACATATCTCAGAAAAATATAGTATTGTAGTGCCAGCTAATTAAGATGAGTTAATTAGGATGTTGATGGTACTAATAACAACGTACATGGTGATGTCTAAGTTGATTCTCTAATGTTTTCATGACCAAAGGCTGGCAGTGTTGTATTGGCACCGAAAGTTCTTGCTCTTAGTTTTGTACCATTCTTAGGCATTCCAATATCTTGCCAGTTATTTATCTGCACAAAAGGGGAAAGCATACAAGAAAATGCAGATAGAGAACATCAAAACGTGCACTTATGCTCAAGAAAATTATCACAGAACCTCATCTACTCACAGAATTAGTTTCACATTTAGGCTGTGTTTAGATCCAAAGTTTGGATCCAAACTTCAGTCCTTTTCCATCACATCAACCTGTCATACACACACAACTTTTCAGTCACATCATCTCCAATTTCAACCAAAATCCAAACTTTGCGCTGAACTAAACACAGCCTCAGGCTATAAAAGCTCGCTCTATGTTTTGTTTTTCCTATTGAGGTAGTAAAATGATTATTACAAATGAACTTTCCATCGTTGTAAGAAGATCCTGTGGCAATTTCTATTTATCCCTTGGTTGTTAGGCCAATTGAGCAAAAGAAGGCATAGGATAAAAGGTTTTGCAACATGAAAAAGGGATCAGTATAGCTGATCAACAATTGTTTGGGGCTGAACAGCCCTACCTACCTTCCCAAAGACATCATCTTCTAATTATAGCCTCTGGCTAACCATAAGAATCTACAAAGGACATAATACTTTTTATGCATAAACATTCATGTTGAGTGTTCAACTGTTCACTAACCACCAAATCAAGATTCAGTTTCCTTTTAAATAAACAGATTATATCTAAACAGATTATATCTGTGTGCACCAAGGTAATCAAGAGGTCTAATGGCAAACAAAACCAGCAGTATCTACTGCTAGCCAATCTAAACTGCAGGAAAACACATTGGCGCATTGCCAAATACTTTTTGTGCGTAAACACATTCATGTCGAGTGTTCATCTGTAAAGTAGTCACCGAATCGAAATTTAGATTTCTTTCAAATAAACAGATGATATCATGTGCACCAAGGTAATCAAGATGACTGATGGCAAACAAAACCAGCATCATCTACTGGTATACAATTGCCGCTAAGCTGTGGAGCTTCATTCGTGGCTCGTGTGAGAGGCAAAGCAACTATAGATGGTCGACCACCTAAAAGAATGAAGCAAACAAACGTATGAATCTCGGTAACTAAAGATTCACAAAGACCAAATCTAAAGAATGCAGTACATCAGTAACAGAGGTTGAAACAAAACAGAAAGCCAACCTCTTATGCTTTTTATCCTGAAATGATATGCTCAAGGAAATCTGAGTTATTTGCTAAGAACCTGCACAAATTCAGAAATACATGATAGTGAGAACCTGCAAGGCTGCAACACACATACAAAGGGAGAAAGAGAAAGCATGACAAAAAAGGAAAGGAGTGGTGGTAAGAGGCAAGCAGGCAGCCATCTGAAACATTGTCTGTGCCGCTGCCCACTGGTCACCGTCACATATGAGAACGACTTCATAACGGCGGCAACGACAGCAAGGGACTCAGATACACATGAATCCTGTATGGCTTTGGCAGTGGAGAGGCACATGGAGACGACCTTTTTTGGCCGCATACAATGCTACTCTTGCTTGATGCCGTCGCCGCCGGTCGGAGCGGCTTCAAGCTTCCGTGCAGCACCGTATTACTCATCTCGCCAAATCTAGCACGGTGTTGGAATACTCAGAGTAGCGTGCAACCAGACAGAGAGAACCGTCGCTGGATCGACGAACTCATCATTGACCGCCCAACACGCCAAATCGAGCTGTGCGGCACCGGATAGAGCACCTGGTCATGGAGCTCCAGCGCAACCGCCGAATCAAGGTACTCGTCGTTCGCTGACTGAGCGTCTCACCATTGAGCTCAAGCCAGCAACACCGATGACACGAAATGTCTGAGATTGGTGCCACATCGCCGCCGCCAAGATCAACAGATCCAGTGGCTCTGGATCTATCGCCGTCTCTAGATCAAAGAGAGAGAGAGAGAGGGAGGGGGAGGGGGGGAGGAAGGAGAGCAACAAGAAAGATGAGGGTGGGGAGCAGAGATTTCCCCATGGAGCTTACCGCGACACTGCCGATGAGCCTCATGTGCTAGCCCTGCCCTTGCCTCCGGGTGACCGGATCCGCCGGCAAGGAGGTCGTGGCTACCCGAATCCGGCGAGCACGGTCTACCCTCCGCCGGAACTGGCCTCGCGGTGGCAAGGGGGAGGTGCGGCGATTTGGCTGGGTGCAAGAAGAGTGGTCGGAGGCGGAGGCGGATGCGGCGGTGTGGTCTAGGGAGAGCGAGCGAGAAGAGAGAGGTGACGGAACGGCGGCGGCTAGGGTTTCGTGGGGTGAGGGACCGGGATAGGGATGCAAGTTGTTGCAGAAAACCCCCTTAGTTTCTATGTTTTCGAGCGCAGTCCTATTTTCTGTTTTTTGCTTCTTTGATTAGAATATTTCTTTTTTAGAGGTCCTATACGTAATAACGTAGAACGTAGAAACTGTATACCAGAGATCTAAAACCAAATTATCAATTAGTTTAAGGGCTTTTTTGCAAAATGATCAGCGTCGGGCAGGCATGGACGCACGATGGGCATCCAACGACGGAGGAAGCAAGCAACGCGCAGCCTCCAAATTCAGCTCCGGAGAAGGGCCGGACGACGTGTCACGCCCCGGCAAGGGCCACGCCAGCGGCAAACGCTGATTTGAGGCTCAATTCTCGGCAGCTTTGTATATATAAGCGATGTAGCCATTCATTGGGTCCCTCTCTTCATGCTCCCAATGTGTATGTTATTACTAGTTAACTTCAAATACTATTTTTCTCCTAACTTACTTACCGAATTTACAATATGACTATACAGTTAAATCTTCACAACAAGATCATTACATGAGTATATTTCGAATAAAAATATATTTTTTAACTGAAACATTTTTACATCATATATGAAACATCAATTTGTAACTTTTGAAACATCAAATAAAACCACATTCAACATTTGCTAATAATGTAATAAAACCTCGAAATAATACCATGTGCAATGTTTTTTTTAAAAAAGTTCATTGCGATTCTTTAAAAAAGGTTCGTGGGAGTGACGGCCCACCGGTCCAGAGGACTACAGGCCCCTCTGAAAACAAATGGGCCGTATTGCGTCACAAACACAAATTAATTTGGCTTCAACCTGTCCTGGAGCGCAAAGTGGGCCGTCATGCTATATGGGCCGTGTGCTCCTTCGCTTTGGTCCATCACCCTGCCTAGTGCGGCACTAGAGCTCAAGGAGGGGCGACTCGCCGACTCGGGTAGAGGCGTAGAGCGCGCTGGCGACGGGAGGCTCAGGCATCGACGCCCGCCGACGAGTCCGCTCCTATTCCAATCCATGGCCGACAGTGAAAGGTACACCGCCTCTCTCCCTCATATGCTTCCCCCGTCTCCCTTTTATTCTGGGCGTGGGTTGCGGGTCGCGCTCGCCGGAGATCCACCTGCCGGACTGCACTTCAGTTTGGTTAAATGCCTGAACCCATCTTCTGGGTTCACCCAAATTTGCTATCACCAGGGAATGCAATTTGCTGCACCTTCTGTTTACACTCAAATTTAGCATCTAGAAATAAAATAGAGTGTTTTCCTCTAAGAGGCCTGTCTGACCGCCGTGTATATGCCGGTTAGACCGCGGCTTGAACTCCGGTCAGACCGGCGGTGTGTGGCCGGTCTGACCGGCAGAGTCCGAGCCCGAGTCTGTTTCGTTGGGTCTCGAGGTTTCCTTGCTTGGGAAGGCATGTTTCAGGTTTCCTTTGGATTCTATCCCGAGTTGGACGTGGAGGAGGGCCTGTAGAAGGCAAGACCAACCCCTATATAAAAGACAAGGCTGGTTCAATTGTAATCTCTCAATCAACTATCAATCAATCGAATCGTTCTTTTACTTTTGCTTCTAGTTCTAGTTTAGTTTGTCCATCTTTGTCGATTTACGTCGTAAATCGTCCGCCGCCGCAGCGAGAGTGTGACACATCTCTGTAGGTTTGTCTTGAAAACCTTCCGTTTTGCCCACGAGACGGGTAGTTATCCTTCGTTCTATCTAGATCGGCTCCGCTAGCCGGTTTAGTTTATCAAAACCCATCTTAGTTTAGCTTTTACTAGATTGAGGTGGTTGGTGACTCTGAGATCACCGCAAAGCGTTAGGTGCTGCGATCGTGCTTGTCAAGTTGTCACAAAAAGTTGCCAACACCTTCGTGGCTGCGCATCAACTGTACTACTGACACCAAATAGGAGGGGAAAGGTGCGTTTTAATACTCCTTCCTTAGCCCTGCTACATTTCGCCAGTTCTACCTTCTTCTATTATTTTGTTGCAATCTTCGAATTGTGTGTATTCGATATTGTACTAGTTCAACTGTATCATAGATCCGATTTTTGTGAGGAATCTGAGCCTGTTTATTTAGAAGTCGTTGTAGTAGTACAACCTACGTATTACAAAGTCAGGTGGCACTGCTGATGCTCCGTGCCCACTCACGAGAGTCACGACCCATCAGCTTTTTTGCTCTGGCCACAAGAGTGGAAACTGCTGTGCTGTGCTCCATGAGTCCCATGTCGCCTGAAAGCAACCTGTAGTTTTCAACCCTTGAGGGTGTACTTTCTACCTTTGATAATGCTTCCACCATCCAGCATTTATGGAAATCATTTGCGTAGCGAGGATTGAACTCCATCAAGTATATAGCATGTTGAACAATCACCCTCCTGATACTGGGACAATAAGGACTGGGTCTCATATGTGCATTAAGTTCATCGACAAGCCTCTTTACAAATCTCTCCTTAATCTGGCCTTTCTCTAGTTCTCGGGCGAAGTCTTCAGGAATGCATTTACATATTTGTGAACTAAGGCCAATAAGGACCTCTAGTTCTGCTCCTTTTGTATGCATTATTCCTTCCAGCACCTGTAGTGGAAGTAGCCACACCATGTGAGGCAATAAACCATTGTTAGTAAAAATATTCAACAAACTTCGGCTACATTTTTACCTACTTCCTCTGTTTCATATTATAAGAGTTTCTAGCATTGCCCATATTCATATATATGTTAATGAATATATACATATATGTGTGCCTAGATTCATTAACATCTATATGAATGTGAGCAATGTTAAAAAGTCTTATAACCTGAAACGGAGGGAGTATTTAGTTAAAGGTCATCCAGGATATTTCTGACAGTATACTTAGTTGTCGGATGTACAATACATGAGTAGTTTTTGCATGTTGATGGGTTCACATTAGTCAATTTCATGACATGAGTTAACAATGCTATCAATATTAGGAGCACAGATGTTTATGCCTGTCAATATTTGAAAAAAAAATGTGCAAACTCTAAGTCAGTTCTCCCTGATAATTTATGAGACAGTACAGATAGAAAGCACATGAAAATAGTAGTTACAGTATCCACCTCCAGTATCGCACTTGACACTTGAATTAGCAGTTTTTCTGTCTTTATAAAAAAAAGAGAGAAGAATTTGCAGCTCACCAATCTCAAGATGTCAGATAGTCCCTTCAGGTCTGAGTTGCTGAGCTTACACTGAGCATGCTCGCACATACTCCACAACAGGCTTGCTGTTATACATTTGTACCTGTCATTATGGATCGTAGCTGTAAGTTCTCTAATGAACGCATACCCTGGTTCCATTAACATAACCAAACAGTTATCTTTACTCTCCATTGCCAGCATCGCCAGTGCTTGACCAGCAGTTTTCCGTAGCAAGTGATTACAATTTGTACTTGAGGATGGATCTCGGCTGAGAAATCTACACATCAAACTGCTGATGATTACTCGGATGTGCTCGATGTCCTTACTAGTGTTTCTATCCATGGCAAGGTTTTTCAGTA